ATTTCTAACTTGCCAAAATATTAGCAATACAAAAAGTAAACATATAATTCTAAATGAGAATGATTTGAATAACATAACTCTCGTGTTATTTCATAGTAGTTTTGCTTATCTTGGTGAAATCACTAACTATGCATCTTCCTTTTCCAATTCCTTGCCTTCTAATTCCTCTTCAGCTTTCTTCACAGAAGGCGCAGCTGCTTCCAATCCCTTGTCTTTTACTTCCTCTTGATCAGCTTTCTTCACAGAAGGCGCAGGTGCTTCCAATTCCTTTTCTTTTACTCCCTCTTGGGCTTTCTTCACAAGCGCGGCTGCTGCTTCCTTCTTCACATCCTCAAGAGCTCGGATCCAGTTCGAAAGGCATTTCTCTGCACCTTCTCTTGGGGACTTGGGCATCAGGTTCTCTGCCACGTCAGCCGGTGTAATCTTATTCTCCTTCATCAAACCTTCAATCGATTCAAACATTGGATGTGTTTCCAGCATCAGGTAATTTTTCGCAAGCACTTTAAACCCCTCAAAACTGCAGTAGGAAAGCTCAATATGCTTATCCATCCGCCCTCTTCTTATCAGAGCAGGGTCCAGCTTCTCCACATAATTTGTAGTGAACACCACAATCCGCTCCCCCCCACAGGCAGACCAGATCCCATCAATGAAATTCAAAAGCCCTGAAAGGGTGACTTTGCTTCGATTCCAATCATTTTCATCATCATCTGAAGATTGCTCAATGTTCTTTTTCCGTTGTCCTGTAAGACGAAGACAGCAGTCAATATCCTCGATTACTATAATGGACTTACTCGTAGTCTCAATCAAAAGCTTCCTCAGCTCTGTATTGTCCGTCACTGCTGTGAGCTCCAGATCATACAAATCATAACTCAACAAATTCGCCATTGCAGCGATCATTGTCGATTTCCCAGTCCCCGGTGGACCATAAAGTAGATATCCCCGTTTCCACGCCTTCCCGATTCTTGAATAAAAATCCTTACTCTGGCTGAACGTCAATAGATCTTCAACAATCTCCGGCTCCATCGCCATCGTCTCAAACGTTGCAGGATGCTCAAACACAATGTGACTCCACATAGTGTGCTTGTGGCTTCAATACTTATAAGAAGGATTGTTTGTGTAGAGCTTCCTCTGTTTGTTTTTGACCCTGATTTCCTTCCCTTTCTTCAATACATGGTCCAGATAAGCCTCAGATATCAACTCCCTATGCCGCTTGTGGAACTTGAGCTGGTAATACCTTCTCTCCGGCTCCGGATTGTACGTCGTGGTCCTCGCCGGTGACACGATTTTAGTCGAAACCCACCGGACCTTCACGCCACGAAATTCATCAGTCACTTTTTCATGTTCATCCATGCTTAAAACCAACTTGCTGCTGTCCTTTCCCATCTCAGCCTTGAGCCTCTTAGCACTTGTGGACGAATTCAGGCTGAGGTAGGCCTCCACCGCGGAGTAGGCTTCACTGCGCTTGAGCCGGCTTCCGGTGAACTCGTAGATAGAAATCTGGATGTCGGGGTACAAGTAGCCCTTGATTCTCTGAGTATATGCTGACAAGTATTGACGGACCTCGTAGGGACAGTATTGGCTTATGATGGCCCAAAAGAACATGAAACTGGCAATGGTTGAGCCTATCATCGCCCACATCTCCGTCATCCTCGTCGGTGCCATCATCGGAGCTATGTTCATTGTATTTGCTGGCTCTCTTCGTCTTCTTGTTCTTTGTCCTTCACATAAAAGAAAAGCTTTATTTATCTCTGTTGTGTCTAGGAAAACAAGCAGAGAAATTATTGTATGATAGAGAACGTTAGTAACTGCAACGAATTGTATTGTGTCTTGGAAAACAAGTAGAGAAATTATTGTATGATACAGAACTCTATGACATGTTAGTAAATGCAACTGATATGCTAGTAAATGCAAGTGAATGTCACAAATTGTGATTGGTGTAAAGCAGGTAATAATTTCGTAAACAAGAGAGTAGGTAAAAGCATATTAAAAAGAACAAGAGAGTTGTTTATGACTTCGGATAAACCCATAGTCATAGAGCACTATGCATGTGACTCTGTCTTGTTTGATTTCATTTGCAATGTAAGGGTGTAAATTGCGCAGGTCCAATTCAGTCCGGTCTCAATCTAAACTTAACTCGAAATTGAATTGAGTTGGACCAGTTTAATGTTACCCCATATATAAGTAATCCAAATTCAAATTTTTAATATTTTTTTTTTAATATGCAAATTACATGTCTGTTTCTCACCACCTTTGGTATTATAACTTAAGTATTCAATTATTAATTTTTGGATACTTTGAAGTTTGCATGATCTCGTAGAGGAATATATATATATATGTATTTATATTATGTTAGGCGTGGTTGTAGCTTCTAATGAAATGGCTCTTCATGAATGTTGTAAAAATAATATAAAAATAAATCCTATGCATATAACAAAAGATAATTCAAGTTGGGAAGAGGTTTTCCTGAAAATAAATCCTATGCATATAACAAAAGATAATTCAAGTTGGGAAGAGGTTTTCCTGATTTGAGTAGATGCATCATCAAAAACAGTGTCTTCTTTCATGGTAGAGATATAGGCTAAAAACAATCCTACATGTAAAAGCGCACAAGAAACATATACAATACACCACTAAAAACAAATTGATTTTGGCAAGAATACCTTGGAAAGGAAAAACATAAAAGAAAATTTTGATTTGAAAAAAAAAAAAAAAAAGACAAAAGAAGAAAACAAATATAAATATATATATATATATCACATATTTGGGTTTTATTATGTACGTGGCTATGTTCATATGTGTTGACTGGGCATGTGGTGGTTACTATGCAAGTTAATGAATTTATTATATCTAATCATAATCATAGTAAAGTGGAAAGAAGGAAAAGAAGTTGAGCGTCAATGCCAGTCACATGACTACGCAAGATGAAAGAGAATATGTGTACAAGGGATGTACACAACCAAAAAAAAAAAAAAAAAAAAAAGAAAATGAACAGCTTGACATACCAATTATTTACTCGCCCGAGTAGAGGCTGCAATCTGGTAAGGGTTTCTGATAAATCTTTAAAGTTTATTGAATTTGATGTCAACCCCTATTACATAAGTGGTATATAGAGACAACAAAATATCTTCTATTTATAATAGAATTTGTATAATTCAATTCAAATTAGAAAGTGAAGAATTACAATATAATGTTAAATAGAAAAACCAAAAAGAAAACTTTACAATTCAGAGATAATGTTAGATACTTCAAGTCCCATTTAAAATAACAGACAAGTCCGGTCAAACACAAATGTCAAGGGTTTTGACCTAGTAATGCCTCGTTCCATTCTAAAATAGAAGCAAGTCTTCAATTCAAGTCTATGTTAATCTGAATTAAAAAAATAAAAATAAAAGTAAAAATAAAAAGGACTCTCAATCTCGTTTGAAGCCACGCAACCCAAAAAGAAATAAAAAAAAATTCAATCATATAGAGAAAGAGCAAGAAGGCTGGAATAATAAGCCAAAAATAAATAAATAAACCGTGGTGTATGCATACATTTATGCTTGTGAATAGAGTTTTAGGGTTCTTAATTTGTCAATACATTTTTTTTTTTTTTTTTCCCAGTTCAAATAGTAGTATGTCCATACACTAGTGCTTGTGAAAAGGGTTTTAGGGCTTGCAATTTGTCAATTGCAATTTGTCAATTCATATATATATTGAAAACGTATTTTTTAATTCAAACCACAAGCCAACGGGTTACATAGAGTGTCTCTGTATTAAGGTTAATAATTATTATTATTATTATTCAGAATTTCAAATTGGAAGAATAATAAGAACAAAACTGTTATCAAATGACTCAGAGAGATCCAAATTTGAAAGTGAAAGATTTGTAAGGGTAATTTTGTCAAAAATAATGAGTTCATGATAGGCTTGACTAGTTTAGCATCAAGTTTTTGACATTCGTTCGTTAAATGGGGTAAGTTGCAACAATTAGTAAATAGAGGTTACTTGTTGCAACAAGACTAACACCTTTAATTTAACAAATAAGGGAGATGTTAGTGTATATTAATGATTTCTCAAAGTAGCTCAACGTAATTTACTCTTGAATATACTGTGGATACTTCACTTATTTATTTTTGTTTTTATATTTTTCTTATTTTGTTCTGCTATTGTACATTGAACCACACCCAAAAAAAAAATAGTCGAATAAATTTTATTTTTTATCAATCTTAAAAAATAGGATGTCAATCCAAAACCATAGACCAATTTTTCACAAGTATAAGTGTATGGACATACTACTAATTGAACTGAAAAAAAAAATGTATTGACAAATTAAAAACCCTAAAACTCTATTCACAAGCATAAATGTATGCACATATTTCGGTTTGTATTAAAAAAAAAAAAAAAATTACCGACAAATTAAAAATGCTAAAACCCTTTTCAAAAGCATAAACAGGGTTCAATTAGAGACTGAATCCTCTTTGATTTCAAACAACAACAATTAATTTTTATTTTATTTTATTATTTATTTATTATTTATTATTATTATTTTTTTTCAGATTGCTCAATTTGGATTCCATGAACCGTCAGCAACTGTTATAGAATCTGTAGGCTTAAGGCCTAATTCATGATTTTACAACTGGTGAAAGACTGGTCTTTTTTATTATTAAAATTCAATTTGGGAAGTTTAGTGCACTAAGACCTAATTATATTTACTTCTTTTGAATCCTCAACACCACCATCCATGACCAAAAATGCTGATTTTCTTTTGTAACTTTTAAATATCAATTACTAAGTATATTTTTGAAAGACATATTTATTACAATCAAACACAATAAATATATATAGTAACATTAAAAAATCAACAAGTATGATAGAAAAGATTAATATAATTTTAATAAACAAAAACGAATGACAGTATAAATTAACGAAACCTCAAAGTATTATTGTTATATAATAGAGAGAAAGGAAATACAGAAACAGCAAATAGAAGAAATATACATACATATATACTAGTGTGTGTGTATATATATATATGTGGGTATAGAAGGGGGAGGGAGAGGAAATAGAGAAACAGCAAACAGAAGATTGGAGAAGTGAAAATGGTGGCAATCTCTCTGTATAGAGGCAACCTCCACAGGGTTCCCGATGCCCCTCGTCGATGGCTGATGCCAACTCCTAAAATCTCCCTCAAAGACTTCAAGATCCTTCTCCACCGCCGCTCCACTGCCCTCTCTCGCCTCCTCACCACCACTACCACCATCGCCACCACCTCTAACCCTAACCCTAAAGACAATGAATTTTCCAGCAATGAACCCCAGCCTCCTCCATCGGAGCCACCAAGGGTTAGCAATCCTGAGGAAGGGCCTTCTTCGTTTCAAGAGGAAGTCAAGGACCACAGAGGATCGGACGGTGGTGGTGGTGGTTCGGAGAAACCGGTTGATGGATCTGATACCAGACCGGTAGTACCTGAAAGCAGCTCCAATCCAGTGGACTCACGTGGTGATTCACGAGGTGAAAAGCCTGTGGCTTCCGAGAACCCTAACACAGAGGTATCAAATTTCAATGTGTTTACCTCAGTTCCATAGATTCTTCAGTTGTCTAAGTTGTTTGTATCTACCTTGAATATAATTGTTATACATACATGTCATTGATTTGGATGGAGATTGAAAGAATTATGTGAATTGTGAGGGCATAAAATTCACAGTCAAAGCTACAATTTCCAAATTATAAACTAAACACAGAAAGAAAATAAGACTGAGAGAAGAAAAAAATCACTTTGATGCGATGAACACCATAATTTTATGCTTATATATATCTAAGCGATTCAAGGCATCCACCATTTTAATGCACCATGCTTTAAGCTTGAAAGTCTATTAATTTAAACATCTGAGGCTGTGCTTTAGATAGCTTGTATTGAGCTTGCCTTGAGGAAAGCTCACAAACATCCTAAAACTACTACTTTAACCAGGTTTGATAGTTCTCATCTACTCATCTTTGTTCCGTATAAATCTTTAATAATTGTTTTTATTGTTTTAAGCTGCAGACAAATGAAAAAATTGATGCATTGCCATTAACTGATAGAGAGAAAAGGAAAAGAGAGGTCGAAGAAAAGTTGCAGAATTTGAAAGCAAAGAAACATAATTTAGTACAAGTGCTAAAACAGGTCAGCTTCTTTCCAGTCACCATATATTATGTGAGAAGAGATCTTTGGATATCTCATTACACTCATTTGGATGTTTTAGGGACATGGCTTCCCACAGCTTTGTCCAAACAATGTTTGATAAATAGGGTGTAATTGGTGGTGTTTAACAGATATTAAACGCAGAAGAAGAATTGAAGAGACGAAGTAATATTCCATTTCAAGGAATGGCAATGCGTCCATCTGTTCCACTTCAAGTGGATACTGCAAATGATTCTGGATCAATGAGTAGGCATGCTACTCCTAGGATTGGCTCAGAGGGAAACCTTGGCAGTGATATGGAAGGAGGAGAAGCTGATGATGTTTCAAACCATAATGTTCATTCTCGTCATTTGCTTCGAATGAGCAGTACATCGCCATCTTCAGATTCTCCTTATAGAAGGCCTGCCTATATCCAACATAATACGGTATTTTAAATTAATTTCATAGATTATTATTTCAATGAATATGATGCTGCATGTGTTTTATGAAGCATATAGAATGTTTTATTTGCCCAGAGAAACTAACTGTTTGAATAGTTTTACAACAAATATAATATATGACATGAAGTATGTGGAATCTATAAATATATGTAACTCTAATCGTGAAGACAACTGTTGCTGACCTATGAACCTATTGCTGTAAAATCTGTTATGAGGCATCTCAGCATTTTGCAATTCATATCATTGGTCCAAATGGTGTCTTTTCTGTTAGAATTTCCTTAGATTCATCATCCTTCTTTGTTGAATGCTAAACATGAGGCCATTTTTATTATTGAAGTCTATGTGGCTATTAGTCCATCCAGAAATTTTGTTGTTTACAATATTTTTTGTTCTCTTACCCCCATTCTACAAGCATGGGTAAATTGTCATTTCAAACTGTCATTTCTTTCTTTCTTTTCCTTTTTTCAAATTCTCTTTTTGTTAAACAAGTTCAACCAGTTAACCCCACTGTTCACATCGGACCTTGTTGCTGAACACACAAATCAGTTATCATACTTACAATAGAGGCATTAGAGTAGACTTTTGTAACACACAATTCATAACCACACCTGAGGGAAAAATCTCCTACAAACTTCTAGACCAAGGAAACACATATCCAGCTTACTTTCTAATATTCTTTTTGTTTTCTTCTTCCTTATTTAAGTCCTAAAACATTTATGATTGGTGTTGGATGAAATAATAAAAGAGATCCAAGAAAATATTCCATGGTGTATGTCGTTTGCTAATGACGGTTTTATTAAGATACTTCTAAGGAAGCCTTAGCAACAAAGTTAGAAACATGGAGAAAGACATTCAAATAAAAAAAAAGGGTAAAAATCAGTAAAACTAAAAAGAGTATATGAAATGTAAATTTGATAAATTAGCAGAAACTGACAACATAAATATTACAATTAAAGACCAAAGAGTTGCTCAAAATAACTACTTTCATTATTTAGGGTCAATTTTACAAAAAAGCAAAAGAAAAAAGGAGATAGATGGTGTAGTAAGCAGGATTGGAGCAGTGTGGACAAAATTGAGGGAAGCTAGTTATATCCTTTGTGACAAGGAAAATGATATAATGTTCAACTAGTTTTAACTGGAAAAAACCGACTCAACACGTGCCTATGCTCAACTCTCCCTCTCTCTTCCTCTCTCTCACTGCTCTGCAAAACCCTTCCCTCTCTTTTTCTTCTCTTTCCTTCCCTTCTTTTGTTCTCAATGTCTTCCATCAATCTCAAATCCCAGTGAAACCCAGATCCAATTCCACCATCATCTCTTCCTTCTCCACCTTCTTCGTGTTCCTCATCTTATCGGAGATCAGTTTCAGTCCCAGCTTTGGCCTCACCTTCATCCTTTCCAACTCCACTGCACCTGATGACACTCTCTCCGGCCAATACTTAAGACGGTTTCTCCAACGCTACTGTCCCCAGCGTCGCCACACTCCTCGCCGTAGAATTCATCACCAGCCAGAACCTGAACAATCACATCAGAATCAACTTGAACAACATCGATTCGAAGATTACAGATAGAGTTGGGTCCTACATGCCTGGATTGAATTTGATGTCACTGACCCACATGACAATCACATGTACTTTCCTGATTTCTTTCAAGAATTAGTTATTTGAGTGATATTTTCTATGGGGAATTATTTAATTTCAGTTTGGTTTTATGCATCAGAAAAAAAATTCACAGTAGCAACCCTTGGGGACGTTGAATCGTTTAACAGGTTGATGATGCATGATTGTTTCGGTGGAGAGAGAAAAAAAAGAAAAAGAAAGAAGGATTGTAGGTTTCTTGTAAACAGCTGGCCCACACAGTGACAAACAAATGTTAGTCGTATTTTGTCGGTTTTTTTGTAGTCGGGTGAAATGGCACTACTCTTCAAATTAATTTAAAGAAAAATTATATAGGACGGTCTTTAGGCCAATTATATTGTATGGGCAACTCATTCATGTAGAGGAAATGTGGATGCTACGATGGATAATAGGAGTGACTAGAAGAGATAAATAGGGGTGCACATGGTTCAGTTTGGACCAAATCTGGCATGAACTAGGGCCAAATTGGTTCCAATGACTCCATGAAAATTGGAACCAAAACGGACTGCAGGAACCATTGGAACCGAATCATGAGAGACTAGTTCAGTGGACTATAGGAACCATTGGAACTGAATCATGAGAGATGGGTTCGGTTCATTTCGGTATACAGTCCTAGCCTTCTCTGTTACATGGACTCTTCAAAAGTAGTGAAGTACCCGTGTCGGACCCGTATCCCTCGGACATGGGTATGAAATATGTGTCCGCCACTTTTGGTTGGACATGTACTTAAAAAGCATATCCAATCATTCAATTACATTAATATTATTACTTTAAAATGAGTTAAATGCCTATATTGAACATTGTATTTGATAAAAACATTACCTTACTCTATAAAATAAAATAAAATAATTAATAAAATGAATATTTAGCCGTGTCCATGTGTCCTTCTGTTTGGAGATTTGACACATCCGACGCATGGATATATACTCGTGTCCGACACCCGTACCCGAGTCCATGTAACATAGCTAGCCTTTTTGATTGAATTTTTTATATTTTGTTTCTAATTTGTTCTCAAACTAATTCAACATATGTACGTCATTGATTTATGTATGTATCAAAATATATTATTAGGTTAGGATTAAGAAATTTTTTATAGTATATATGTCAAATTCATAAATATATATATATTTAATTAACTGTTCGGTTTGGTTCAGTTCGGTCCTATAGGACCCCAAACCGAGAATCGAACTATTAATTAAAGAGTTCTTATTTTTGAAACCGGAAACGCGTACCATAAAAAGGGACCAAACAACCCCCGGTTTTTTGGTTCAACCGATTTTGAGATAAGATTAGTAATTAAGGAGTAAGGGAAAAATTAGGAATAGAGCCTGTTAATGATAAAATTAGAGAAAATAGACTTAGGTGGTATGGTCGTATACAATAAACACCGGTTAGAAGAAGAAAAGTTGTTTACCTAGGAGTTAAGTGACAAAGAGGCTGTTATGAAATAAGGATCGAGTAGGAGTTTATGAGAACAAGAGAAAAAATAAATGACAAGAAAATAAAATAAAGCACACAAACGAGACAAGGATTTACGCGGTTCGGCTATACCTACATGTACGGGAGAAGACAGAACAATATTTCACTATGGAAATAAAGAGATACAATACTTAAGTGGCTCACACCCAAAACCTAATCACACCCAAAATCTCACACACTTTGCTTTGCATTTATAGGCAAAATCACTCTCAAATTTTGGATGCCAAAACCATGAGAAGGCCAGGCTATTTATAGCCAAAATGGGTTACCAAACTTGCTGCCCACGAGCTCTTGGAGACAAAGAAAAAATGCTTGTTGAACACATAAACTTGGCCAAGTTGATGACCAAATGGGTGATGCACTTGCTGATGTCATGGGTGAGTTTATTGCATGGTGAGTTGGCAAAAATTGAGCCATAAAATTAACAAATCTCCACCTTGGCGAAAATTTAAATGAGTTACTGTATCTCTGTTAAACAAAATTGTCTTCTCTACTAAGCGCCTAAGGGCAATTTCAAAAATTGAGAATACCATCCAAGTCCAAGCAATGCTTGAACTTGAGAGTCGGAATGGACTTTGTCATCATATCCGCCGGATTTTCAGCTGTGTCAATTTTCTTCAATGTAGTAATTCCTTTTGATTTGACATCCCGAATAAAATGATATCTGACATCAATGTGTTTGGTTCTCTTGTGATACATTTGATTTTTGGTCAAATATATTGCACTCTGACTGTCACAATAAATAACAGTTGAGCTCTGCTGCAAACTCAAAACACTAACCAAACCTCTCAACCAAATGGCTTCCTTCACTGCTTCAGTGGCCGTCATATATTCTGCTTCTATAGTAGAGAGAGCAACTGTGGATTGCAAAGTTGCTTTCCAACTAACTGCACAACCTGAGAGAGTAAAGACGTATCCTGTTAGAGATCTCCTTCTGTCTAAATCACTAGTGTAGTTGGAGTCCACAAAACGAACAAAACTGCCAAAATCATCACTACTCTTCTGATAAACTAAGCCAATATCTGTTGTACCTTTCAAATACCGAAGAATCCACTTCATGGCTAGCCAATGCTCTTTCTAAGGATAAATCCACTAAGTAATTCTTCTGATATTGCTAGGGTTGCTGAGGAAAGTTCCTCGAATGTCGTAAAATGTTCTTTCAGTTTCTGTCAGTGATTGTCACTCCAGTATTGAATGGGTTCTTGATTCTTTGTTGATTTTATGGCTCAATTTCTGCCAACTCACCATGCAATAAGCTCACCCATGACATCAGCAAGTGCATCACCCATTTGGTCATCAACTAAGCCTCCAAGTTTATGTGTTCAACAAGCATATTTTCTTGGTCTCTAAGAGCTCGTGGGCAGCAAGTTTGGTAACCCATTTTGGCTATAAAAAGCCTGGCCTTCTAATGGTTTTGGCATCCAAAATTTGAGAGTGATTGCTTGTAAATGCAAAGCAAAGTGTGTGAGATTTTTGGTATAACTGGGTTTTGGGTGTGAGCCACTTAAGCATTGTATCTCTTTATTTTCATAGTGAAATATTGTTTTGTCTTCTCCCGTGGATGTAGGCATAGCCGAACCATGTAAATCCTTGTCTTGTTTGTGTGCTTTATTTTATTTTCTTGTCATTTATTGAACATATTTTCTGTCAACTTGTCCTTCCCGAACAACACCTTCTTTATACCTTGCTGAGTCAGCAGGGCCTGCATTTTAATGCGCCAAAGACTGAAGCTAATCTTGCCAACAAATTTCTCACTCGTATTTGGTCGACATCTCAAAAAACTCAAAAAAAAATTCTCGGTGAATAGTACCGAATTTGTGAACAGTACCCAGTGACGGAGCCAGGATTTCAAGTGAGGGGAGGCACACTGGCAAAAAAAAAATAAAAATAATACGGAGTACATATATATATATATATAACAACTATAAAATTTAAAAGGGCAAAGAAGAAGAAAATTATTAAAATATAAAAGGAAAATAAAAATGAAAAACTTTAATAGGAAATAGTTAAAAAGTTTCAATTGAGGAAGAAAATTTTGACTTTTTCTATTAAGGAAATTTAAGGAATGTGAAGGGTAAAAGAGAAAATAAAGAAAAAATAAGAATATAATTTTAGGAATTACAAATTTGAGGGGGGGCACTATATAAATTTTGTCATATATATGGAATTTTTTTAAAAAATTACCACATATATTATAGGTTGTTGGCCAATTCAGGGGGGGCACGTGCCCCCCCTAGGCCTTCATTGGCTCTGTCCCTGACAGTACCCGAATAGTATGTGTGAACAGTATATGTACACAATACACGGACCGAGCTCTGATACTAGTTTGTTACGAAATAAGGATCGAATAGGAGTTTATGAGAACAAGAGAAAAATAATGACAAGAAAAACAAAAATAGCGCGCACACTGAAATAAGATTCATCTTCAGATTCGGTATATGTCGCACATCTGACAATGTTCTCACCAACCCATCGTTCGTCTTGATCTTAACTGTTCCAATTCCCAAAATTTTGAAAGCTTTCTTGTCCGCTGTAAAAAATCGAACCACTTTTCACCTCTTTATAGGAAGAGAAAGAATCCCTACTGGGACACATATGAACGGAACAATCAGAATCAAGAATCCAACTGTCATTAAATGACATACTTGAACACGAGGTTGTCATGAGAACATATTCGTCACTTTCCGAATTACTCGTTACAGCAGTTGCCACAGAAGTTGCTTCCTGAACCTTCTCTTTGCCATTCCCATTCTTTGCCCTTAGTTTGGGATAGTGCTTGATCCTCATCATCAACTCAAAGTGAGCTTGTAATATTTTCACAATTTTATGAGATCTAGATTTTCCCTTACTACCAGAACCCTTTGTCTCACTTTTGCCTCTTACAAATAGACCCTCGGCCTGTTTATCTCCAATATTCCCAGACACCTTTTTCCTCAACTCCTGAGAGTTCAATGAGGATTTAATATCCTCCATACTAATAGTGCCTTTTCCATAGAGTAATGTGGTAACAAAATGCTCATAAGAAGGAGGTAAAGAACACAACAAAATAGGGCCTGGTTTTCTACTTACCGTTCTATTGATGGTGGTATTGTCTTAATGGGGAACGACAATCCCTGTAAGACTGTTGGCATAGGCACAATCCAAATCAAGATGCACAATGGGTTGGTGAGAACATTGTCAGATGTGCGACATGTACCGAATCTGAAGATGAATCTTATTTCAGTGTGTGCCATTTTTGTTTTTCTTGTCATTATTTTTCTGTTATTCTCATAAACTCCTACTCGATCCTTATTTTATAATAGAGGCTGACCAAAACTTACATGATATGAAGTAAAATAAAATTTTTATTTTTAAAAAACAAATATTAGAGGTGACATGATATATAATAGGAAATAATGAAAAAAAAGAATTCGTATGACCGACCCCATCCATATGGGACAAAGGCAAGGATGATTATGATGATGATGATGATTTAACTTCTATGACTGTGTGGTATCTTCCAAATGATGAATTGCTTAAAGCTTGACAGCCACAGTTAAATAAAAAAAAAAAAACCTTTAAGTAGGTTAATCTGTCAGAATTATGCAATCTGAAGATTTACCCTTTTTTTTCCCTGAATGATTTACCCATTTTTTCTGAATCATAGGTTTAACACAAAGCAGTCCTTTAGGCTACGTTTGGTAAGGTGGCAAAGGAAAGAAATGATAAGATTAGTTATGAGGGAAAGAGAAGGATAATTTTAACCCCTTATTGTGTTTGGTTGATTAATGAAGGAAAAGAAAGGAAGGGATAATGATCATGTTTGAGAAAAGGAAGGAAAGGAAAGTATTTTAATAAATTTACCATTATACCCTTTTATATTTTAAAAGAAAAATTTATAAATTTAAGTATGTAATATTTACCAAAAAAAAAAAAAACTTATGTAATATAAATATAATATTTTTAGGGCAAATCATTTTAGCCTCCCCCCCCCCCCCCCCCCCTCTCTCTCTCTCTCTCTCTCTCTCTCTCTCTCTCTCCGTGTGCAGCTGCAAACTACAAAATCTACAAGAATCTGAAGTTCCAAACCGATATATTTCAGTTTATCTATCTGTCTGCAAGAATCAAAAGTTCAAAACCCATATCGGCATATTGTTTCAGATTGTTTCAAAAATCAAAACCCATATCTTTCAGTTTCCGTCGCCCGCTGTTCCAGTTCAGGTTTGCCGTTTCCATCGTTGGCTGTTCCAGTTCGGGTTCGCTGTTCGCAAGTTTCAGCCGCTGGCCCGCTGTAAGCTTGCCCCCTCTCTTTCTCTGCAACTGCTAACTTGTATGTATGGGTTTTGTTTTAATTTTTTTTTTCTAAATCAAGTAATCAAGGTATGTAATTCTTGTTTTGCAAACTAAATCCTTGATTTTGTGTGGGTAAATTTGGCATCAGAAATTATTCATCAAGTCTCTCCTTCCCTTTCCTTCCAATTCCTCCCATAATTATTGTTTTGCAAACTAAATCCTTGATTTTGTGTGGGTAAATTTGGCATCAGAGATTATTCATCAAGTCTCTCCTTCCCTTTCCTTCCAATTCCTCCCATTTTTGAGAGGGTAAGAAAGTTACTGTTTAAGCCTACTGATATCCTTCCAAACCCTTCCCTTTCCTTCCATCAATTTTTGACAAACACAAAATTTTAATCCCCCTCCATCACCTTCGCTCCCCTTTCCTCCTTTTTCCATTGCACCAAACTGACCCTTAAACTTTATTGGTCTCTCTTTTGGTACATTGCCAGCTTTGTTAAAATTATTTGTGAATATTGGTGTCCTCTTTGTTTTAGAAGGAATACAATATATGCCAGGCCGTAGCCTTAGTTATATATTCAATTCACGTATAACCTGATTGTGGGTTGAGCGTCACAAATGGTTTACAAGTTAACTTTTAGGTCATTGTAGTTTAGCAATTATTCAATTGACACAATTTATTAGCGACCCCAAACAGGGTATTATCAAGTTCAAGTGCAGTAGCACTACAGAATTCTTTTTATTTTATTTTTTTATTTTTTTTGGGTATATATATTAGTGTATATGATTCAGAATTCGTTTGCATTGATATTACTTAGCTGAGCTAAAGAACTTCAGTCATCATCCTGGAATTAAATAACCTGCCGCAAAAAGAGAATAGAAAAAGTAAAACGGAGCTTAACTTGTCAACAAATCCATTATGGTAATCTGTAGATTCTAATTTGGCCTAACTTTATATTCATTACTAGTCTTGGCGGCTGCTATTCTGCTGATGTAAAATGTATTTCGTATCTTATACGCAGGTTCCACACCCTTCTCGAGCGAATGCGGCAGTTGCTGGTAGTCCATCACGCTTTGCTCCCTCAGGGCACCAAGGTCACCCCGCAAATCTGCCTACAGTCTCTGTATCTGGAACAAATTACGTTGCCTCCTCTCCCTCCCCTGCCGCATCTGGTGGCACTTCAGCATTCAGAGATGGCCGACTGTCAAGTCCATGGAATTAGAAGCTTTGCTGCCTCCTCGTATATCGAGAAACATATTATGCTTTAATTCTGCAACCTGGCTCAAATATGTTTGGAGCTTAGGTTTTGAATGTCGTTGGGAGTACGATGAGTGAGTTGCAGCTGGAACATGAAGACTCTCAATTTGAATAGTCGTTCAGCAGAACAGATCCAGAAATCCCATTTCACCATATAGTGTATTGTTCGCATCTTCCATAGCCGGAGTGCAAGGCTAGTATCATTTCACGTCTCACCCACCATGATGTTGTAAATTCGAATGTGTCGGCTACCATTACAAATCTAAGCCGTATATGTGTTTAAAGAAACGAATTACTTAAAGACTCTTTCTGTTCTGATCATCTCGCCTGCGATTCTCTACCATTGTATGGTAAACACTCCCGTGTTTGATACTTAATATCATTCCTGATCTTGAAGCAAATTTATTCTTGAAAAAAAATTGTGATCAAATTCTTTATATCATGCTCTAGTATGAGTGAAACCTGACAGCACATGTCACGGGAAGAACAAGCAGTGGCTATGATTCATTCCACCGTTCTATGCACAACGGATCCTCGATTAACAGTGATCAGTGGATAGATATCTGACCCCATAGCATTGATGATAATTGTAGATCTTTCTTGTTCTGTACAATCTACACTTTCTTTGTATTTGGTTCTCTTTTGATTAGTATTTTTACTGCATTTCCTGGAGAAGTGGCCAACTATACATCAGGGGAGAGAACCATTCAGTAGGAAAACATCTGGGTGCTCATCCTGGCATATTGCAGGGTGAGTGACCCATTTTGATGCAGCTAATTGTTAAGTTTTACGAGTTTCCTCCTATATGTGTACTACCCAGAAGCCTAGTTAGTTGAGCACCTTGCTACCGAACAGGTACCCAGTAGCCTAGTTAGTCGAGCACCTTGCACCCGAACAAGTGTGCCTGTTTGAGTCCCCTCACCCTAGTTTGCCAAGAGGGAGTAAAAAAAAAAAAAAAATGAACAATAGAGTTCCTCCTGTGATCTAATGTTTCACACTCTTACGTAGACAGCATTTCATTACCTTTCAAGCCCAGTAATTAAAAGCTCTTTATACCAGCTTAGAACACAACATAGAAATAGTGAAATATAATACATAAAAAGCTCTTCACGCTGCTTAGTAAGCCAATAAAAATTAAAATAGATCGAGAACAAAGCATGATAACATTGTTTACTAATCCAAAACAACCTAAAATCTGAAAAAAAAAAAATAATAAATAAATAAAAATAACTACCAGTCTAGTTTGTACATCAAATTAAGAAAGAAATTACAATGATTTGTACACAGATATATGAACATAACAAATCTCAGAAAATAAAATAAAAGGGTCAAACAACTGATGAAATGACCATTGACCAGTGCTGTCTCCTAAATAGAGATCACTCGCAGATACAATGTCAAGCCTCTCAAACTATTTCAATAAAAATGAAAAATAAGATGTGAACAGAAAATATAAGAAATGAATAGCTACAATATGTATGACACAACCACCTGTTTGGGAACTTCAAAAGCAGATCTTACAAAACCCCGAACATACCCATAACCAGTTCACACAAATAACCATTTGTTCAAATTTTTAACTCAAGGATAAAACAAGTAACCAGATGCAGAGTAAAGAAAAAAAAACAGAATGGGTGCACACAAAATTCACAAATTGCTCAGACTAACTGAGAAATTTTGGCTGCAAGTTGCACTATCTCAGTTAACCGTGTCTGACACCCGTGTCTATGTGTCCTTCTATTTGGAGATTTGACACGTCTAACGTATGGATACATACCCGTGTCCGACATCCATACCCGACGAGAGCCTAGCCAACCACACCCTTAGACTCCATCAACTTTTAGAAATTTTCAACACCGACCTACAATCAATCAAATGGCCATATCTCCTCCTACAAAAATCAGATCAACCTGAAATACTCCTACAAAAATCAGATCAACCTGAAATACAATGCTAAATGCTAAATTGCAGAACTTTTATTTGATTATATTATTATATAATTTTTTTTATATAATTTTTTTTTCTTTTTAGGAAATTTATATATATATTATATATATATATATATGTATATTATATATATGATTATATTATTATTAAAAATATATATATATATTTAGGGCAAATCGTTTCAGCCTCCCAAATAGCCATATATATTTTTAGGGCAAATCATTTCAGCCTCCCCAATCGCCTCCATCTCTATTCTCGTTCTCAGCTCTGAAATTGCCCCCTCTCGCTGTTTCAGTTCAGGTTCGCCGTTCGCAAGCTTCAGTTGTTGGCTCTCAACTCTCAAGCTTGCCCCCCCCCCCCCCCCCCCCCCCTCCCTCTCTCTCTGCAACTGCTAACTTGTATGTATGGATTTTGATTTAATTTTTTTTCTAAATCAACTAATGAAGCTCTGTAATTCTCTGTAATTATTTTCTAAATCAACTAATCCATGGCAGGGGCAACCTCTGCTCTCTTCCTTCTTGACATCAAAGGCCGAGAATCTCTTCACCAAACCCATTGAGAAAGAGGTTCGATTTTTGTTTTCTTTTTTTAATCAAGGTCTGTAATTCTTGTTTTGCAAACTAAATATTATTTGGTGAAATTTTTTATGATATATATATATATATATATATATATATATATATATATGCCAAATCTGAGAACCCCTCCCTCCCTCTCTCTCTCTCTCTCTCTCTGAAATAACAATAGCTATTTCTTATGCTACAATTGGCAAAACTTTTGGCAAAGTTAAAAATTGGCAGCCCTTTTAGCATTGCATTGGAGAGCCCCTTTTGAAGTCTCCTTGCTATATTTTAGAAATAACAGGCCTTTTAACTTTGGATTGGAGATGCTCTTAGAGGTTATTAAGGTCTTTTATTGACCACCCAAATGGCCATACCTCTATCTACAAAACTCCGATTGACCAGAAATTTTAACTCAGATGAAGCTAACATGTACAACAAGTTACTAATAAACTATGTACAACACATTTTGTCACACCTCTCATTTTAGGCTACTTTTCACTATTCGGACTTGTAAAAGTCCACAAATGGGCATAATCGAGTAGTCAAATCCCTAAGGTGGATATGTCATACTACCAATATTTTATTTTATTATTATTATTATTTTTTGACTATTTTTTAATAAAAGTTCATTAATGAGCATAACCGATGATAATTCCCAAGGGCTCCAAATCAATTAATCTAAAAGGTGGACAATCACTTCAAACTAATCTAAATTAATTTCACTATTAAGTCACTTTCAAATTGAGTTTTTATATTGATCAATATTAAGAGGGCATAAAAACTCCATATCCACTTAAATTTTGAAAATCAGTTTCAAATTCGAACAAAATCATCTAAACTGCATTGGGGTGCCCAAAATAAATAAATAAAAAATTAGTGAAACTGAAAAATTGTTTTGATTTTAAATCCTTTAGGACTGTACCAAAAATCATCTGGTCATGATTCCAAAATGGTGGAATTGTAAAATTACGGTTCGGTTCCAATTTGGATCCTTTAGGACCGGATGGGACCGTTTATTATGTGTGTGTATGTATATATTATATATAATATTAATATTGTCATGATGTGATGCTTGAACAATTTATTAATAGGAAAGACTTCAAATTAATATTAGTTTTCAACTTCAGAATATATATTTTACAAGTTTGTTAACGCTTATAAAACTTTCCCTTGTTTGTCCTAATAATATATGTTACTTTTCTGAAAGAAAAGAGTCGATTGGAATGGGTAGTAGAATAAGAGAAAAAAAAATAGGTATGTTTTTTTTGAGATATTATCATACTTGTTTGATTAGAAGATCCATTTTGTGCAGTAAGAATGTGACATTAATTATTAATTGCTTTTCTCATTAAGTCTAAAAAAATTTGTTCATGAGAGGCATTTTCTTTATAGATCGATCTTCTTCTTTTTTTCTTTTTCTTTTTTAATGGCACTATTGACTGGAACAGAGTAAAATCCTGAGAATGTTTAATTACAGGTATAAAATTTTAATGGCACTATTGACTGTAGTACAGGGTAAAATCTGTTTCTCGCCCTATTGAAAGTTTAAAAAAAATACAAGCCATTCCCCCTTTAATCCATCTAAACCTTGGAATATTCTATGCTCTTTTTTTTTGTTTTTTTTGGAAGCTAAATATTGTAAAGAGAGAAAAAGATACAAAAAAAGAATGTACAAGGCCAATGCCCAAACCAATGATCCAGCCCAGGAATAGTGGACAGGGCCCAACAATACAACAACAAAGAGAATAAAACAACTGGTATAAGCCCAACAGCTCTGTTCCTCATTACTACGAGTGTCAATTGGGTAGGTTTGGACTAGGTAGATTTTTAATGGACTAATAACCCATTATTATTCCCCACAAATAAAAAACGGTTTAGAGCTTAAATGCACCGGTGATAAACAAGTACGCCCATTCCAACCCGAATGATTAGCTTAATTAAATTTGATGAGGAACAAGCCTGGAGATTCAGCAAATCCATCTTGGCTGGCTTCAGCTTTCTCGCTCTACTTGGTCTCTCGGTTTCAGGTTGTGGTTTTAGCGTCAGAGAGTAGTAGCTTTGGAGGTTCCGCAAAATTAAGAGGATACAAATATAGTATATATATATATATCGATTCATAGATATACTCCTTATATATGAGAGTTGAATTGAAATACGGTTTGCTTTCTACTTACAAACAGAGTTGGTGGAGAATTCAACTCTGTTTCGATAGTAGTTTTTTCAATTATTTATTTATTTTTAATTTCTGCAACTTTGTATATATGAAAATTAAAATACGAAGAGATTGAGATGGGCTCATAAGTGGACGACTTTTTCAATTTTTTAAATTTTTTTTTAATTTCTGCAACTTGTATATTAAAATACGAGTGAGTTTCATAAAATACAAAAAGAGAGCGGCTGGGATGTGGGATTGTGCACCTCGCTCGGTCAAGTTCTGATACCATTTGTAATGGCCTACTCCACTACATGGATATTGTTCACTTTGAGCCTGAGCCGAACTCGAACTCGCACGATTTTGTTTTTGAGCTTTATCTCAAAAGGCTTTGTACCAATTGAAGATAATACCACCACACATAAGCACTTTATCTTTCCGTTATACGAATTGTGCACCCGTAACTCACTCAGTATGATAGTCTATAAATGTCTCGTACCCACCAATAAGAGCGTCACATGTATCTACAGGGATGTCAATTTATACCTCTCAGCTCCTAGCCATTAAACCCTAGTATGAGAATTAATTTTATACGGTAGGGATGGTATAGGGGTACAATATTGAAATCCGTCGCGGGTCAAGCGGTGGGAACGGGTTCTACTAAACACCCGCCCGTCTTACATACAATTCATTTTTTAATTATATATATATATACATATCATATCTTTTGTAACCCTAGAGCTTGAAAAACCCTGAAGCCTGCCGCCTCACTCCTCAGTCCTCAGCAGTGAAAGACCAATCAAAACTTCTCTCTCTAACCTCTCATCTCCTCCATCACCAAACTCGCCTGCAACTACATCCATTTGGGGCCTAACCAAATATAGAATAAATACAGAACATAAGGAGGCCTTCGCAGATTGTAGTGGTACGTCGCTGATAACCTCTTCAGACTGCCACGATCACTTCCTCTTCTTCTTCTTTTTCTTCTTCGATTTCTATCCAAATATCCTGTTGAAGGAATCTGTGTTCGTTTTGATATGGTTCATTCTTAGTATAATTAAGCTCACTAGTCCAATGTTATTTTGATGGATTCTAGGGTTAGCATTGGGCTTTAACCATTAACAAGGACAAGGGTCAAGAAACATGTCTCCTCGTTCATCAGGTAACAATCTCCTACCTTCCAAAATTTTAATTGGCATTTTTAGCTATTCATTACACTTATTTATTCATGTTTTACATACTGATTTTTTTTTTTTTTTTCTTTCTTTCTTGTTTTTGTTTTTATATATATATATATATATATATATATATATATATATATAATATTGTTCTGATGTGATGCTTAACAATTTTTTAATGCCAAAGATTTTAAAGTTCAAAGTTCAAATATTAGTTTTCAATTTCAGAATATATGGTTTACAAGTTTGTTAACGCTTTTACAACTTTATGTCTTTTGTCCTAATAATATAGGTTACTTTTCTGGAAGAAGAGAGTTGATGGGAATGGGTGGCGTCGGCAAAAAAAAAGAAGAGGTATGTATTTGTTTTTTTGAGATGTTATTATATTTGTTTGATGCTCCATTTTGTACTAAGGATGTGAAATAAATAATTTCTTGCTTTTCTCATTTATTCTAAAATCTGCATTCTCGACTGGCAGAAAAATCCTAAAAATAATTAATTTCAAATAGAAAATTTTAATGGCACTATTGACTGTACATGGTAAAATCCTAAGAATATTTAATTACAAATAGAAAATTTTAATGGCACTATTGATTGGAACATGTAAAATCCAAGAATATTTAATTACAAATAGAAAATTTTAATGACACTATTGACTGGTACATGGTAAAATCCTAAGAATGTTTCTTTGCACTACAAGAAAAATAATTTTTAACCACCCCAATAATGTTTGAAAAATAATTTTTAACCACTCACTTTTTACCAGGGTTCGCGTGGACCGTGGTAGAAATGGTCTTTTACCACAGTCAATGTAAAACCGTGGTAGAAATTATATTCTACCACGGGTGAGCCCTTGAATTTTTTTTTTTTTTTTTTTAATCTCTATGCGGGTCTTATTCCCACTAATATATTTTGTATGGCCGTAAAAAAAAATTAAAAATTAAAAAATTATATGTTGGTACACAAAACACACCCACACATAAATTTTTTCTCCCATTTCGATCAAAACCGGCGACGAGACTCCTGCGATTACACCCAAACACGCCGGGATATCTATGACCATACCGGGATATCTCTGACCATGCCGGGATATCTTTGACCACCGGGACGCGAACACGCCACTTTCTTTCTTCCTCCAAAACGAACCGAGCCCTAATATCTCTCTCTAACCCCTTTCAACCCCAAGTCCTAAATGATAAGACAAGGCTCAGAAGCAAAACCTTGAATATTGTGTTTGAAGCTCCTTTCTCTCCAAGCCCTAACCCCCTTTCTACCGAAGCCCCTTTCTCTCTGATTTGAAGCAGTATGGAGTCGTGGAAGCAATCTTTGTGTAACAAAGATCATTTATCCAAGCCCTAACCCCCCCTCTCTCCCATTCGAAGCAAACTTTGGCGTCAAACCCCTGATAACCGAAGCCCTAATTTATTGTGTTTGCTTCTATTGTTGATTTGAAGCAAGGATCGATTAATTTTGAAGATTTGGCGTAAACCCCCGATGAGGTTTATTTTTATCATTCTTAGTATTTTCTTTTCTTCTATTTGAAATATTAACGTCATTTGTGATTGGACTGGTACCATCAGAATTTTGAGAAACTTGTGAGGACTTATCTATCATTTCATCCTGCAATTAATGTTAGAATTGAGAATTAGAATTGAGATAAATGTAATAGCCTAAGAATTTAAAGAAACCTGCTATTAACACTGATGTTGTTTCTGTCAGTTTTCAAAATAAAGGCTGAATGAGTATATAGCAGGTACTCATCTTTATGGAATATATATTCTACATACTTGCATCACTATGTTCAGCTTTTTTAATGTAACATATATTCTAGGCAAAATGAGAAATCGCTTCTATTTTAACTTTGTTCTTTCAACATCAAAGTAAAATCTAGTTTCTTGGAAGCCCACTCTCTTTCTTATCTGAAAATACATATAAATCATTTTAGTCTAAATGAACTTTGAATCAATAGCTATTTGATGAGTTTCCATACAGCAGGATCAACTGACTATGCTTACGCTTTATAGACCGACCTTTCTAGACATTCTAAAAGGAGATACAACCGCTCAGCTGTTTATAATAATCTGCTTTTCAGTCAGGAATTGATCCTCCTAATTGTTGAACACCTAAACAAAACTATGGGGATTACTAAACCTACAAATTAAATTAAGTTTTACTTCTCATAGGGCTGGAATTGATGAAGCTTTCAGTAAAGTGAGGAACAGAGGCTTTGAATTTGTTCAGAAAATAGAAATTTAGCTCAACAAAATACAATGGATTTTAACGAAGATATAAGGAACAAGAAGGATTGTTATTTGTCAAAGCAAACTCTGTTGCACAATGGTACCAGTAGTATTTCTTGTTGCTATATATATACGTATATATATATATATATTCCAAGCAATATTTTACCTATTTCCAGCTCCCCACACTTTAAATTTTTCGGAGTTTATTTTCACATCATTTTCCATGTATCTTCTTTCTACTGTTTTTATTAGCTATCACTGTCATTTGAATCATATTAATCCTTTGTTTCTCTGAATGTCTTCTTCTAGACAATATTGTGTTCTGAATCATATTGATTACAATTCCTTAACCAGAAAATATAGAGAAAGAAAAGCACATTTAATTCTGGATGCTCTTCTTGTTCCATGCTTTTTTTACATGCATGTGTTTCTAGGTTATTATTTAAGTCACATCAGAATATGGAATTTGAACTGCCTAACACAGTGATTGAGACAAGCATGTGACACCAAATAATCAATTGTAATTTTGGTCTCTATGTTATTTAATTTGGTCCTCTTAAATATTAATTGTTGGACTGTTATTGTGAATTGATGGCTAGCCAAACATCTTTAAACCTGTCCTACACACTGATTACCAACCAACAGAATAGGCACCTTATCATCTCTCTGTACCCCTGTATCTCCAAGCCTTTAGAAGCTTCTTCAGCCTTATGTTCGCTCCATTTTAGCAGTTCAAAAAATCAAGTTTCTTGTCCAGTTCATGCAAGATGGAAATTCCTTTTCTGCATGTTGGACATACTGGGCAATCTATCATGAAACGTGACCACCCCATTGACCTACCACCGAGATCTAGCATTGCCCCAACAAGCTCCAAACCAATCTACTTCTGTGTTAGCCTCTCTGCAGCTAGCCCAAGCCTTTTTGAAAGTTATTCCTCCACCATCCCATAGTAAACAGTCTTCCCTGTTATAGATTGGAATGGTAGTCAAATAATCTCTACTAGGATGATAGAGCCCTTCTTGGAACAAATCCATATTCCATCTTCCATTAGCCAAAAAACAGTTTATAGTAGTAGAATCCAAATGCAGCCTTAACCTTCTAACCACTCTATAACCAAATCTTTGGATCAAGGTTTGCCCATCACACCAAGGATCAGTCAAGGTTTTAAAAAGCTGCCCATTCCCCACTGAGAAGTTAAGATGCTGTTGGATAATATCTCTGGTGTTAATCATGTTTTTCCAAATAAAAACCCTTGGAAGGACATTCCAATAAGAGGCATGATGTAGGTATCTGTTCTTAAACCATGGAACCCATAACCTGTCTTTGCTCATCAGAAAATCCCAGGTTAATACACAGTGAGACGCAGTCTGCAGATCTTTCAATTTTCAGATGCCTAGCCCCCCTTCAACCTTTGTTATTGTGATCTTGTCCCAGCTCAAGAGAGGCATTTTTTTGATATTATCTCTACTAGCCCACACAAAATCTCTATACAATTTTTGAATATGATTTATCGCAGCTATTTGGATCTGGAATACTCTGCACCAGTATAAACAAATAGGCGTAACAACAGACCTAATCAACTCTATTTTTTTCTGCAACAGAAAGCAAATTTGTGTTCCATGCAGTGAGTTTTTGAGTGATCTTATCGACCAATGCAAGACAATGATTTTGCTTTAAACCAGAGGAACATAAAGGCAAACCCAGGTATTTCAATGGTAGCAACTCTTCTTTACATTGCAATGCAAGACAATGATTTTGCTTTAAACCAGAGGAACATAAAGGCAAACCCAGGTATTTCAATGGTAGCAACTCTTCTTTACATTGTAGCAGATCTAGAATAGGCCCTATTTGTATGGTCCATTAGAAGATGGGGTGGTAATTGATGGTGATGGTGGTGACGTGTCTGCGATGTGTGAAACTGGTGACATATAAGCTTAAGTGGCAGAAAAAGCCGAAGATTTTATTGTTGAATCGGTTGCCTTGGATAAGAGGTCCAACCTAGACCTTGACACTCTTAGCTTCTCGCATATACCTAGTACCGAAGGGGGTCAGCTAGGATCCATTTGCTTGCACTCTACATGATACTATAAATCAATAGCAGCCTTCTGACCTTCACCCATAAACAAAAAACTCCATACTGGTTTGGGATAAGGTGGCACCAACTGTTGTAAGGAGGAGGACTGATCCTCCTCTATACCAACAAAACTCTCTCTTTCCTCGCTGAAACCCTAGCACTGTGAAACCCTAAATGTAGCCTCTATGGTATTTTTCCTCCTTTGCAGTTTGCAAGTACTAAAGTTTTCTGCATTATATCCGACCTCATAGTATAGAAGGTTAACATACCAATTGAATTGTACAACTCTGCATAAAGCGTAATCAGAGTTGCGCAGCGGAAGCGCGACGAGATCTTGGGATGGTATTAGTGAATTTAGTGTGATTTCCCAAGATATAAACTTTTTTATTTATTTTATTGATGATAGAATTATGAATTGGCCTTGCAATTAAGAAAATTGAAAAATTAAAAATGGTAAGGTAAATAAGATACTATTATAAATAACCATATGAGTTTTCCTAGTTGTGCTTTAAACTTGGTGAGAGAACTAAACATTATGCGAAATGTGTTTTCACTCTCTAATCTATGGTAAACTGACACTTCAATGTTTGGTTCTTGACTTGAGTGCATACACAATTTGAGTGGTCTTGGATTTTCTCTTAGGAATTTATTGCTTTATGGAATACAGGTTTGGGAACCAGGTAGCCTTTCTATTCTTACAGTATAGTTTAATTGCATCCTTTGAGCAACTGCATTGTTGTGTTTGTGTTCGATGATGAAGATAACTTAAACATTATGGTATTGCTAATAGAAAAGCTACTCCATTAGACTCTTAACAATACTTCCCAAAAATCTTTAATTAACTTAAACATTTCACCATTGCCAATAGAAAAGCTACAATTTTGCTGTTCGATCTAACATAAGTTTTGCTGTTTTCAGTTCCATATTCTGGAATTTGAAAAGATTCCCCTTCTACGACTTCAAGCACACCATGCGCGAAGGAAATGAGGTGGCTGATCAATTAGCTTCCATGGGTTTGGAGATCGCCAGGCGACAGAATAAGCTTGCAAATAATCGATATTCTGAGGAACATGCTATGGGAAGATACAGGGATCTATTGCAGCACGAAAGAGGCTTGTTTGCAGGTTTCCCTTTGTGGATGAAGTGCTAGTCCATTAGTTTGGATACACTTTTTTCTCTCTCTTCAGTATTTCATTTGTTCACTATTGGATATCAAAGCAGTAAGCAGTAGTAAGCCGCAGTAAGAGTAAGAGTAAGAGTAAGAGTAAGAGTAAGAGTAAGAGTAAGAGTAAGCAGTAAGCAGTAAGCAGTAAGCAGTAATTTACTATGAACATGCGTTTCCCATTCAAATTTATCTGTGAGATGCATATGCATATATGAAGATTGGGTGTATGAATGTGTTATGAGGATGGCGGCTTTTGAGGAGAATCAAAAAGGTCGGCTTCTTTCATTCCATGTATGCCAGAGGGTAGTTGAGAAAGTGGAGCTAGAAAAGTTTGTAACAAACCAGTTTGTTGCACTCATCAAGTCACTTAACCGCAACCACAGTTTCCCAAGCAAATGGAAAATCAGCAAAGAGATGATCAGTAGTGTCTTCTGCAGCAAAACAAAGATAACAAATAACCACCACTGTATGTCCTCTATGTCTCAAATTACACAAGGATTGGACTCTAAGCATGCAGCCACTCCAAGATAATTTGTGCCAATAAACATGAGGCTTGTGAGGTGGTCGGACTGACACCCACACGGTCTTGAAGCAAAACTTACCATTCCCCGACGAAATATATTCAGTGCATTGCTTAAGAAGCAGAAAGGGCAGCGAACTCTCCCAAGACTCTAGAGATGTGCATAGCAGATCTAGAGGTCATCTGGACGAGAAACCTTTAATCCCACCCTATTTGGTATACGGACTTCAATCAGATGTGCATTCACCTTGGTAGCCATCATATTAGAAAAATATTCAGTAACATGAAGAAGCTCTTGCTGGTCTGCAACCAACCTCCTCCTAGCATCTGAAACCTGATATTGAATGGAACCAAAGGTAGTCTTGTTCCATTCCTTTAAGACTCGAAATGTCTAACTGCTTAAGAGAAAGATGCACGCTGTTTGCTTACAATACTTGCGGTTCTTAAAGAAGGTTTGTGATGCTTAATATTTCATACTTTTTGTATAATTTTTTTTTAAAAAAAAATTCACATTTGCACTTGTAAAACTGTTATGCATAAAGAGGACAAGGCTAAATTCAGATTCTTGAGTTGATAATTTATTCGAGTATATGTATAACGTGGTTGTGATACTCTCTATTATAGCAAATCGAGTATTGCTTGCTCAATCATTCAATTACCGATGTAGCACACGTTAACCAGAGCAATTCTATTTCTGTGAGATTATGTCCTTATTATTTTCATTAGGCTGATAAATCATTATCTCAGGTCAAAGGCTTGGCAAAGCAATTACCATGTTACAGGCTTGATTGGATCAATTATCTAAAAAAAAAAAAAAAAAAAAAAAAGCATTTACCATGTGTTGGAATGGATGGCATAGTTCAATATTCCAAAGGCCTGAATCCAGGTGCTGTTCTCATTATTTATTTCGATAAATTGTTGTCATGTTTATATAATTTAGAGTTAGAAACATAATATAATTTTATGTTTTTGCTATTAGAATTTTGCTTTTATTGATATTTAATAGACCAAACACAGAAAGAGAAGAGGATGCTCCTCACACAAAGTGCCAAGCTCTTCACATGTGAATAGGAATATCTGATAAAATATACCCAACAAATATGTTATGAGGAAAAAAAAAAAAAAAAACCCGCTGTTTGAGGAATAAACACAAGTAATCACGAAGAGATATACATGGTCTATCCAAATTTTAGGGTTACGTTCACGGAGCACACCGAATAATTTTACTATGAAAAAGATGAAAAATTATAATAAAATTTTTTCTTGCATTCTTTTCAATTGCTATGGTGTTGACACAAATTAATCAATCATACAAAACAACCCTCTCTTCATATAAGTTATTGAAGTTATACCTTAAAATCTTATTAAGGTTTATATACAGTGCCAAACAATGGAACATAACTTGTTCTACAAAGTCCAAAACCATTAAGGCAATTTCCGCAACTTCCCAAGGAGTTTGGACTGGTCCAACTTTGATTTTCTCCAACGTTTGAAACCTACTGCTTGAACGCCGGGACTGGTCCAACGTTTCTTTTTTTCTTTTTCTTTTTTAATGGCACTATTGACTGGAACAGAGTAAAATCCTGAGAATGTTTAATTACAGGTATAAAATTTTAATGGCACCATTTACTGTAGTACAGGGTAAAATCTGTTTCTCGCCCTATTGAAAGTTTTTAAAAAAATACAAGCCATTCGCCCTATTGGGATGGTACGGGTAAAATATTGAAATCCGTCGCGGGTCAAGCGGTGGGAACGGATTCTACTAAACATCCGCCCGTCTTACATACAATTTATATATATATATATATATATATCATATCTTTTGTAACCCTAAAGTGTGAAAAACCCTCAAGCCTGCCACCTCACTCCTCAGTCCTCAGCAGTGAAAGATCAATCAAAACTTCTCTCTCTAACCTCTCATCTCCTCCATCACCAAACTCGCCTGCAACTATATCCATTTGGGGCCTAACCAAATACAGAATAAATACAGAACATAAGGAGGCCTTCGAAGATCGTAGTGGTACGCCGTCGATAACCTCTTAAGACTGCCACGATCACTTCCTCTTCTTCTTCTTCTTCTTCGATTTCTATCCAAATATCCTGTTGAAGGAATCTGTGTCCGTTTTGATATGGTTAATTCTTAGTATAATTAAGCTCACTAGTCCATGTTATTTTGATGGATTCTTATTTGTAGGGTTAGCATTGGGCTTTAACAATTAACAAGAACAAGGGTCAAGAAACATGCCTCCTCGTTCATCAGGTAACAAACTCCTACTTTTCAAAATTTTAATTGGCATTTATAGCTATTCATTACATTTATTTATTCATGTTTTACATACTGATTTTTTTTTTTTTTTTCTTGTTTTTGTATCTATATATAATATTGTTCTGATGTGATAGCTTAACAATTTGTTAATGCCAATGATTTCAAAGTTCAAATATTAGTTTTCAATTTCAGAATATATGGTTTACAAGTTTGTTAACACTTTTACAACTTTCTATCTTTTGTCCTGATAATATAAGTTACTTTACTGAAAGAATAGAGTTGATGGGAATGGATGGCGTAGGCAAAAAAAAAAAAAAGAAGTAAAAAGGTATTTTTTTGAGATGTTATTATACTTGTTTGACGCTCCATTTTGTACTAAGGATGTGACATTAATTATTTCTTGCTTTTCTCATTTATTCTAAAATCTGCATTCTCGACTGGCAGAAAAATCCTAAAAATAATTAATTTCAAATAGAAAATTTTAATGGCACCATTGACTGGTACATGGTAAAATCCTAAGAATATTTAATTACAAATAGAAAATTTTAATGGCACTATTGATTGGAACATGTAAAATCCAAGAATATTTAATTACAACTAGAAAATTTTAATGGCACCATTGACTGTTACATGGTAAAATCCTAAGAATGTTTCTTTCCACTACAAGAAAAATAATTTTTAACTATCCTAATAATGTTTGAAAAATAATTTTAAACCTACGCGTGGACCGTGGTAGAAATGGTCTTCTACCACGGTCAATGTAAAACCATGGTAGAAATTATATTCTACCACGGGTGAGCCCTTAATTTAATTTTTTTAATCTCTATGCGGGTTCCCACTAATATATTTTGTATGGCCGTAAAAAAAAATAATAATAATAAAAATAAAAAATTATATGTTGGTACACAAAACACACCCACACAGAAATTTTTTCTCCCATTTCGATCAAAACCGGCGACGAGACTCCTGCGATTACACCCAAACACGCCGGGATATCTCTGACCATGCCGGGATATCTTTGACCACCGGGACGCGAACAAACCACTTTCTTTCTTCCTCCAAAACGAACCAAGCCCTAATATCTCTCTCTAACCCCTTTCAGCCGCAACTCCTAAATGATAAGACAAGGCTCAGAAGCGAAACCTTGAATATTGTGTTTGAAGCTCCTTTCTCTCCAAGCCCTAACCCCCTTTCTACCGAAGCCCCTTTGTCTCTGATTTGAAGCAGCATGGAGTCGTGGAAGCAATCTTTGTGTAACAAAGATCATTTATCCAAGCCCTAACCCTCCCTCTCTCATTCGAAGCCCCCATTATCCAAGCCCTAACCCCCTCTCTCCCATTCGAAGCAAACTTTGGCGTCAAACCCCTGATAACTGAAGCCCTAATTTATCGTGTCTGCTTCTATTGTTGATTTGAAGCAATAATCGATTAATTTTGAAGATTTGGTGTAAACCCCCGGTGAGGTTTATTTTTTTTTATCATTCTTAGTATTTTCTTTTCTTCTATTTGAAATATTAACATCATTTGTGATCGGACTGGTACCATCAGAATTTTGAGAAACTTGTGAGGACTAATCTATCATTTCATCCTGCAATTAATGTTAGAATTGAGTATTCGAATTGAGAGAAATGTAATATGCTTAAGAATTTAAAGAAACCTGCTATTAACACTGATGTTTTTTCTGTCAGTTTTCAAAATAAAGGCTGAATGAGTATATAGCAGGTACTCATCTTTATGGAATATATATTCTACATACTTGCATCACTATGTTCAGCCTTTTTTAATGTAACATATATTCTAGGCAAAATGAGAAATCACTTCTATTTTAACTTTGTGCTTTCAACATCAAAGTAAAATCTAGTTTCTTGGAAGCCCACTCTCTTTCTTATCTGCAAATACATTTAAATCATTTTAGTCTAAATGAACGTTGAATCAATTGCTATTTGATGAGTTTCCATACAGCGGGATCAACTGACTATGCTTACACTTTATAGACCGACCTTTCTAGACATTCTAAAAGGAGATACAAAACGCTCAGCTGTTTATAATAATCTGCTTTTCAGTCTGGAATTGATCCTCCTAATTGTTGAACACCTAAACAAAATTATGTGATTACTAAACCCACAAATTTAATTAAGTTTTACACCTCATAGGGCTGGAATTGATGAAGCTTTCAGTGAGAGTGAGGAACAGAGGCTTTGAATTTGTTCAGAAAATAGAAATTTAGCTCAGCAAAATACAATGGATTTTAACAAAGATATAAGGAACAAGAAGGATTGTTATTTGTCAAAGCAAACTCTGTTGCACAATGGTACCAGTAGTATTTCTTGTTGCTATATATATATATTTCAAGCAATATTTTACCTATTTCCAGCTCCCCACGCTGTAAAATTTTCAGAGTTTATTTTCATATCATTTCGTGTATAATTCATATCCAGCGACTCTGTTATACACAGTTCTGAAAGCTTTACGCTTCCAAAGGAAGCCATTGCATGTCCGAAATCACTTCAACACAATGATCAGTGTGCAAACAAAAAAAAATCCAGTATAGATAAATTTACACACTTCTCATTTGAGCCAAATTCAAATTGAAGAGTATAGCTAGATACTGTTAGTTAGCAGTGCTTGACACATCATGGGAATCAACGTTTTGAAAACAAAGAAAACATCTCATTGTCAATAATACATGTTATTAATTAAGATTGCTAAGAATAAACCAAGGGAAGGTGTCATTTTCTGAAAATTCAATGACACCGTTCAAACAAGTATGGTGCAAACCCATTACTATAATCTAATACTGTAATAAATTAAAAACATAAAATTAATATAGTATTACTATTATCATTATGGTCTTCACTTTCAAATGTGGTCTGTTCATTTTGAAATTGGTAATAAAGTTGGTAAATACATATCATCCAAACACTATTTTGAAAGGAAATTGAAAATCAAATGGAGTAGTAAAAAATATTTATATTCCCAAATTAAGATATGTAGCATACAAACTCTAAGAAAGAAACGTGAGTTGAGCAGCTGCTTCAACCATTCATAGACTTCGAGATCGACTTTTCCTGTGTGTGTGTGTGTGTGTATACAATCAGGAGAGAATTGAAACTGCAAGAGAGAGAAGTTCACAAAAGAATGGGAATGTCACGCTGTCTTTGAGTTTGTATACTGCATATCCTAATGAAGTTACAATTGTCAAAGGGGCACATGGTTAATGCTTAATGCTTGCTTGATTATGGGTTCACTTTTGGAGGGTAATGAGGAAGGAACTACATGTGACCTGATGGCCCTTGAATTTATTTTTTGTTTTTGATACTATATGATACTTCAAATACTTCATCTTCCTTTCCCTGGATCTGCAAATTAAGATTGGCTAGAACAAAGGGACTTAGCTGTTATGGTCTATTACACTTGGAGGAAAGAAACAAAAAGATTCACAAAGTATGATCAAAGCATTTTTATAGTTAACTTACATAATTCCTAGTATAGTGAGATGATGATTGAATTGAATCCTAGCGTTACTTAGTTATTGTATGCATGCACTTGATATTTTTTGCCAATTTCATATTGCAGATTTTTGAGCTTGTAAATGAGCATCAATGGATTTTTTAGTTTTTTCATTTAAGTTTCTCCACTTATGGTGTATTTTGGTGTTATATTTTCTTCAATTGATTTGCATGTACTTGAAATGAAGTATTCCAAAGGGACTGGGAAAAGACAACAACTGGAGCGTCGATCAATTGAGGCTTCACTAGATCGTACACCCTCAGCCTTACCCATTTCTGATGGGGGCTCAAACTCTACTCGTACACCTACTTCTCAAGTGGGAAAATCAACAATAGCGGGTCTTACAAAGTCACTACCTAAGAGGGCTCGTGTGGAGTTTAACGACAAGGGGCATGCAATGGGGAAATTGGAAATAAATACAAATCTGCCCTTCCAATACTAGCACGAGAGATGGTGCCCGTAACTATTGAATCATGGAAGGAAGTGCCAAAAAATTTGCTTGAAGCGATAACGTACAGGTATATTTCAAAAGGAATATATAAGCACAAATAGGAACACTCAGTTTCCCTGCTACTTTTTCTTTTTTGTTTTTTAATATTGTCATTTCATTGCAGAAAGATTTTGATGTTGACAACAGTCATTCCTATGTCACATTTCAAATGATGGGAGCTGCCTGGCACAGACATAAGTCAAATTTAACAAATAATTTGCTAGAGGTGGGAAATAATCTATGAAAAATACAACTCATGAAGTCTGAAAATGTGCCCACAATGGAGGAGTGGCAAAGATTTGCCCAACAACGTTTATCAGCGGCGCATGCTGTGAGTATATAGAATTATATGTCTTTTTTACCTCTTTTTTTTCCAACGACTTATTTAAAAAAAATGCAATTTTTATTTACAGTTGCTAAGACAAAAACAACAAGAGTTGCAGGCTAAAAATGAAACCCCACACACAATGAGTCGAAAAGGATATAGTGGGACTGAAGTGGGATGGTAATGTCAAAACTTTTAATGCTTTGTTTCATCATTGTTTAACTTGATAAAATACTTAAAACTATGCTAAAGAGAGATGGTAATGGCATTGATTTAAGTATTTTTTTCCATATTTATGTTCTTATGTAGAAAAAAAAGTCAAAAGCACCCGATGCAATTTTAAGAGTGGACGTGTGGATTGAAGGGATGGAAAATTTATAAATCAAACGGTGGAGGAGATATTGGTAAGATATATTTCCTTTTTAGTTTAAGTAGCTGATTATTTATATACTTTTTATATTAAACAAATATTATTATTTCAGAGAAAAATGCAAGAGTATACCCAGACAACTCAGAGTTCAGGATACGATGATGATGCACTCACGGCTGTAATAGGTCCTGAACATGGAGGAAGAGAGAGAGGTCTTGGGTTTGGGGTAACACTAATAAAACTGAATGCCCAAAATGGTGCTTGTCGAAAATATGAGAGGACGATTGATGAATTGCAACAAAAATTGCGAATGCAAGAACATACAAATCAGCAAGTGCAAGAGAAATTACAAAGACAAGAGGAAAGGGAAGAACAAATGATGCAACTACTTTAATCAACCTTTGTAAGAAATCTCTATAAATTTGATACAAAATCTCTCTAATTATAACAGTAATTATGAGAAGCATTATTTACTATTTTTTGTTTTTTTTCCCATTATTGTGCTTGGGACAGAATGCTAACTACCAGTCCTCTCCCATTGCTTCACCTCAAGTCTCACCTTTTGAAGATTTTGTCGGCAAGAGTTGTGAGTTGTTGCATTTTGATGGGTCGGAATCAGTTGTCGCCAAGGGTGAGATTGATTCAACGGATTCAAAGTCTCTCATAGGTTCTGCTCTACTTGGTTCCGAATGTTGGAAAGTATGGATCACTGAAATCATTGATGTCAGTGTGCCCTTGTATAGGCCTGAAATTCGTTGCTTTGATTTGAAAGAGGCATATGCTAAAACAGCTACAATTGCATGGCCTATCAAGTACATCAAAATTTGTAAGTTATATGGCCTTTCTGCTTGATTATGGGTTCACTTTAGGAGGGTAACGAGGAAGGAACTACATGTGACCTGATGGCCCTTGAATTTATTTTTTGTTTTTGATACTATATGATACTTACTTCAAATACTTCAGCTTCCTTTCCCTGGATCTACAAATTAAGATTGGCTAGAACAAAGGGCCTTAGCTGTGTTATGGTCTATTACACTTGGAGGAAAGAAACAAAAAGATTCACAAAATAAGTCTTAAAACTCCTCGTGTTGACTAAAGATCAAAGCATTTTTATAGTTAACTTACATAATTCCTGGTATAGTGAGATGATGATTGAATTGAATCCTAGTATTACTTAGTTATTGTATGCAGGCACTTATTTTTTGCCAATTTCATATTGCAGATTTTTGAGCTTGTAAGCAGGTATTTTCATTATGTCTGAATGCACTGAGGTAAGCATCAATGAATTTTTTTAGTTTTTTCATTTAACTGTCTCCACTTATGGTGTATTTTGTTGTTATATTTTCTTCAATTGATTTGCATGTATTTGAAATGAAGTCTTCCAAAGGGGCTGGGAAAAGACAACAACTGGAGCGTAGCTTCACTAAAGTGTACACCCTCAGCCATACCCATTTCTGATGGGGTTCAAACTCTACTTATACACCTACTTCTCAAGTCCCTAACCATGAGGACCAAGCAACAAAGTGGTAAAAAAGGGCAGGGGAAAATCAACAATAGCCGGTCTTACAGAGTCATTACCTAAGAGGGCTCACGTGGAAAGGGCAGGGGGAAATCAACAATAGTTACCTAAGAGGGCTCGTGTGGAGTTTAACAAGGGGTATGCAATGGGGGAAATTGGTAATAAATACAAATTTGCCCTTCCAATACTAGCACGAGAGATGGTGCCCGTAACTATTGAAGTGTCAAAAAATCTACTTGAAGAGATATTGAAGGAGAACGTACAGGTATTTTTAATACTCAGTTTACAAATTTTGATGTACTTGATAGGCCATGCAATTGTAGTTGCTTTAACATATGCGTCTTTCAAATCAAAGCAACGAATTTTAGACCTATATAAGGGCACACTGACATCAATGACTTCAGTGATCCATACTTTCCAACATTCGGATCAAGTGGTGCAGAACTTATGAGAGACTTTGGATCCGTTGAATCAATCTCACCCTTGGCGACAACTAATTTTGTCCCATCAAAATGCAATAACAAACAACTCTTGCCGACAAAATCTTTAGAAGATGAGACTTGAGGTGAAGCAATGGGAGAGGACTGGTAGCTAGCATTCTGTCCCAAGCACAATAATAGAAAGAAAAAAAAAATGTAAATAATGCTTCTCATAATTAGTGTTATAATTAGAGAGATTTTGTATCAAATTTATAGAGATTTCTTACAAAAGTTGATTGAAGTAGTTGCATCATTTGTTCTTGTCTTTGTAATTTCACTTGCTGATTCGTATGTTCTTGCAATCGCAAATTTTGTTGCAATTCATCAATAGTCCTCCCATATGGCCTTCAGTTTTATCAGTGTGACCCCAAACTCAAGCCCTCTCTCTCTCTCTCCCTCCATGTTAGGGCCTATTAGAGGCCTGAGTGCATCATCACCTTAACCTGAACTCAGTTGTCTGGTTGCATTTTTCTCTGAAATAATAATATTTGTTTAGTATAAAAAGTATATAAATAATCAGCTACTTAAACTAAAAGGGAAATATATCTTACCACCGTCTCCTCCAGGCTCCACCATTTTATTTATAAATTTTCCATCCTTTCTTGTATGCCCTTCAATCCACATGTCCCTCTTGAAATCGCATAGTGTGCTTTTGATACATATATATATATATATATATATATATATATATATATATATATTTACATAAAGAACAAAAATATGAAAGAAAAATATTTAATCAATGTAATTACCGTCTCTCTTTAAGCATAGTTTTGAGCATTTTATCAAGTTAAACAATGATGAAACAAGCATTAAAAGTTTCGACACTACAATCCCCACTTCAGTCCCACTGTATCCTTTTCGACTCATTTACAATCTCCACTTCAGTCCCACTGTATCCTTTTCGACTCATTGATGAGGAAAAGGGTTTTGAGTTTAAGGAGATGGGTAAAGAACTGGTTTTAAACAACTGCATAGTTTTATCGTCAGGTAAGCTTCTATTTCTACGTTGAGAGGTCTGGTGACTCTTGCTTCTTCTATTTCTACGTTGAGAGGTCTGTTGACTCTTGCTTCTGCTGTTAGATTGTCAATGTATGGCGTGCCATAAGTCTGGTTGGTCTGTTCATTCTGCTTTGAACTTTCCTTTGTATAACCAAATCTGGTCTATTGTACTGGGAAGCTTCTATTTCTATGTTGAGAGGTCGATCTGTTGAGGGATTTTGGTTTTATATCAATAAATCAAGGGAGGCTAAGATGGATGAGTGACGAGAAAATCGAGGGTAGAATTAGAATCTATATGCAGTTTTTAACTTCAGATCAAAGAGTAAATCAGTAGATATAGATTGGCTTCAAAGGATTGTGGTTTTCATTTCCATGTGTATCATAAGATAATGCTTTAAATTAAATAATTCTATATGGTCTATAACCAAACAAATTAGATGGAAATTGTTTATTGGTATTATTGCTTTCCACCATCATTTCTAGGGATGGTAGGGGAGGGTTTGGGCGGGTGTACCCTCCCCGCCCCTACAACCGTTTGAAAACTCCGCTCTCGCCCTTCCCAAAACCATAAAAAGGGGAGTATTTTCCACTCCATCTCCGTAACCGTTTAACATTTTTACCCTCGCGAATACTCGTCCCGTCTCGTTTAAGATCATAATTTATTTATTGTTAAAATAGATTTGCTTTTTTTTTTTTTTTTCCTCATCTTCAATTTTTCACCATTGCAAATTTCATTTTAATCCCATTTTTTACTTTAATATTGTTATATAGGGTACTTAATATAGTGAGAAATATATATATTAATGAAATAAGGGTATTTAAATAATTTGCCTATCTAAACGGGACGGTGCGGGGTGACCTCTCCCAGCCCCCGCACCAAACCCGCGTGAATTTTTATTATATCAAACCATCCCCGTCCAAATAAGCAAAACGGTCATTCAAAACCGCCAAAAATGTTGCTGGGTGGGGTGGGTAACCGCGGGGCGGTCAAATTGCCATCCCTAATCATTTCATTTATCACTACTGTGGAATTAGGTTTTATTTTTATATACCAACATAACATATTAGATGGTGAAAATTGCTTCCTTTTCATTGTTTTATCACCCATATCGTGTATATATTTTGGAAGGTATATTAAAATTTCAAATTATGTAACTTCCTTACCATAAATTTTAATGTAGCTTCTAAATTGAGAATTGTGTAGTGGTGAGGTGAAATAACTCTGCTTGTTCGAGTGTTGGTAAAAATCAGGATAGATAATTGTGTTAACTAAATGCCAAATGGAGTGAAATTCAAACTGTTAATGTTGAGTTTCAAGAATCTTTTTTTATATTAAGGGTTCGAGCCTTGCATCGAACTATTAGGATTCAAATCCAGTTTGAGTTGTAAGACTTAAATGTTACATGATAAAGTTTTAGTAAATATTATAAGGTTTATTTAAATTATCTTAATGCCACTGTTCAAGATTTGAAAATTTATTATTATTATTATTATTATTATTATTATTATTATTATATAGACTTAAGTGCAAGAAACATCCTCACTGTATACAAATGATGCAAAAAACAAACCCCTACTATTTGTTTCGGTGCAAATGGCGCCCTCTAATCAAGTGTTTTAACCAAATATTTCATTATTGCTATTCTCTCCCTCCTTGTGTTCATTTCCTTCTAGAAACATCCTCACACGTGACGAAACTAATGTTGACATCTCTAAAACTTGAATGTTAACAACTCATTTTGACATGATTACAATTAGAATGGAAGAGTATGAAACTTTTGGTAATTTTATGAAAAAAGACATCGTTAATCATCATCATCTTGTTTTAATTCCATATAAATGTTGCAGGCCAAATGAATTCTTTCTCCAAACTTTCTACTACATGTCATTGTCAATGGCAGCTTTAACTTAAGATTTTTTTAGTATGATTATTAGAAAATTTTGACTCTTTCAAATTTTACGTTAAGGTCACTGCCTGTAGAGGATAAAATAAATTAATAGGCGAGAAAAAAATAAATTAATAAATAAATTAATAGGCAGAAGCTTGCTGTCTTCTCGTTTTTGTTTGTAATCCGTCTGTAAATGCCATCAGAAAACAACCCATTGTTGCTTCAGTTGACATTGAACAATTGAGACTTGTTACACTTTAGTTGACAAGTCTAATCAACTATTTTAACCAAATAAAAAAACCCCTACTGAAGAAAATCAATCGAGACTTTTTACACTTTAATTGACACAACAAATTAAAGAGATCCCAAGAACATGTAAAATTTTGATAGAAAAATAGCATTCTTGATCAATCGAAAATCATGCCAGTTTGATCGAAAAAAATCATATATGGCTCGATCGAATTTAAAGACACTTTGATAGATCGAAATCGCACCAGTTCGATCGATGCAAATGTTCAGTGGTAAGAAAACCTTCCTTAATGCGATTGTTCCTACTTGGTATGATCTAATACTTGGAAAACAAGTAATATGCTTAGAGTGCAAGTATAGAAGCTTTATAAAGAGACTTATGTCAGACATTAAACATAGTGAATTAAAATTTTATTTATCATCATTAGAATGTTTCTTTGGAGGGCCAAGTTCAAGCTGGAACGGGTTGTGTGTTTAGAGACCTAACCTTGGTGCACCAAGGGCCCAAGCCCAGATGTCAATCTTGACCTACTATTTAGAAACATATTATTTTAATTATTCTGAAACTCTCACTTGAACAAGAAAGCTGACTATCAAGACCAAGAAGCCGCTGTGCACACCCCGCCGTCGACGAGAAGGTCATGGCCGGAGATGAATGCGGAGTCATCGGAGGCAAGGAACAACACAGCATCAGCAACATGTTTCACTTTCAGTGCAATCCCTTTCAAGCTCGCGAACGACTCAAAAACCTTCTCCACATCTTCCGCCTCCATCCCGAACGACTTGCACACCATAGGCGTCGCCACCCCGTACGCCGACACACTATTCACCCTAATCCCGTGCTCCCCGAGCTGCCGGCTAGCTGACCGGGCCAACCCAATCACTGCGTGCTTGGACATGTAGTAATCGGTCCCTTTCTTCGCACCTTTACTACCCGCCACGCTGGACGAGCACACGATGCTGCCTCTCACGCGCCGCTCCACCATCACACGCGCCGCATGCTTCACGCAGGCTGCCATGCCGCGCGCGTTGATGGCCAATATACGGTCGAATTCAGAGAAGTCAAGGTCAAGAACGGTCTGATCGGAGTCACTGAATACGCCCGCGTTGCTGAACATAATGTCCAGCTGGCCGTGAATCTGGACCGTTGATTCCACCATGTCTTTGACTTGGTCTTCGTCGGTCACGTCGCAGTGGACGTAGCTGCATTTTGGGCCGATAGCCTTGGCCACACGGCGGCCTTGCTCGTCTAGGATGTCGGCGATCACAACCGCACGTGCGCCGTTATCGGCAAAAACACGGGCCGTTTCCTCGCCGATGCCGCTGGCGCCCCCGGTGATTATGGCTACTTTGCCCTCTAGTTTCTTCATTGCCATTGTTAAAGCTGAAGAGCTTCAGAGAGAGTAGACAGTGATTTTGACTATATGTGTATTAATATTCATCTACATATTTTGTTCAATCATACATGAGTAGCATATATATAGACTCGCGGCGGCTAAGAGGCCTTGAGCGAAAGAAGAAAAAAAAATTATAAAAGTGGATTTTTAATGTGTATATATAGTCAATAAGAAGGAAAAAAATAAATATATAAAAATAAAGAAGATAAAAGTTAAAATAAGAATATAAAAATTTTTACAAATTCTGAAGAAAAAATAAACGGAGATGAAAAAAAAAAAAGAAGATAGAAATCTTTTGGTCCCTAATAAATCTCTATTTGTTTGGATCTAATAATTAATATAAATAAAATTTTTAAGGAAGTTATAATATAAGGGGTAAAAAAAAAATTGAGACCCTTTCTATTGGATAGAATTTAATATTTTTAAGAAGATTATAATATAAATAAATAAATAATTTTAAAAGTTATAATAAAGAAATATAATTTTTGAGTTCTTTATATTTGCTGGGGTGGTAATATGAGGAAATAAAATTTTTAAGGAAAATATAATATAAAAAAATAAAACATAAAATTGAGATCTTTTTATTGATTGGGACCATAAACAAAAGGACCATAAACAAAAGCCTAAATAGACTATAGACCAACGGCCCCTCAATAGACCGGCCGCCGAAATTGGAATCCAAGACATACTAATGAGTGAAGAAGGAAAGTTAGCCATTTGGATGATTTTTCTTTCTTTATTAATTTTTTTTTTCAAACATTTGGATGATTTTTCTTTCAGTCACCAGTAAAGAAACAAGACGTCCAAGTATGCATAGTGTCACGCCCCGCCTATACTCTAAGTCCGTGGCAATAGGATGTGTTTAGACTTTAGAGACAATTGATGCTACTTCTTTTATTTTTTATTTTAATTTTACTACACAAAGAAATAAATAGTAGTTCATGTGAATTTTTTTTACCAAACAAATGTAATATTGTAAAGTTGATATATGAGAATCACGAAAGATTCGACTTTATTTGTTTTACTTCTACTTTTACTTCTTTGACAGTGATGGTAAGTTGAAATGCAATTAAATGAAAGCATCTAAAATTTATAAGTATTACTATTCAGCTCGATGATTAAAAACTTATAAACTTATTACTTTACCGAGTATTTTACGGGTTTATATGACTAATTATGTGTCAAATATAATAAAACTTATTTTAAAATATAAAGTAATTAACTATTTAAAAAATTGACTATCTTTCTATATTTTTACAAATAAAAGTCAAAAATCCTAACTTATTAGAATTTCATATCAATATTCTTTGTTACAGGTGGTGATATTAAAAATTATCTGTTATTTAAAAATATATATACAGATACATATAGAATAAGAGCTTCACGAATATATATATATATATATATATATATATATATAGAAGGGGATGGCGAGAAGGGTATTTTTATTCATTTATATATATATATATATATATATATATATATATATGATGAAAATATCCTTCTCACCATCCCCCCTTCTCTCTCTCCCCACCCACCCGTCACCCACTACAAGATAAGAGACTTTTAGTTATGGAGTATTTTAACCTAATATTATTGTATTTGTGACGGAAACAAAAGAAATAATTCATAATAAATAAATGTGTCAGTAACGGAAATAATACAATAACAAATTTTATTTAATATGCTTTGAAACAATATTTAAGATTTTTTTTTTTTAACTTGACAAACACAAACAAATACGGATTAATACATACTATTGGATGGTGCTAAAATAAGGATGTTAATGGAAATATGAACAAGAGTCATATCCTGAGTGAGATGACTGTAGGGAAACGTGCTAGTTTTAAAAACTTTTCGACGGATTTAAATTCATAGATTTTGATTCATTACATAGAGACAAGTTTTATGCAAAAATAAAACATGATGTATCATTCAATTAAAAAATTGAATACTTACATCAAGGTTTGAGTAAACCTTAGATCTCTCCTCTAAAGTGAATGTTCTCACTTATTGTAGATCCCTTAGCAAGATGCATTCTTCTTGGATCTCTATCTTCTTGGTAATTGTTTTGCCTTTAGAAATCACTCATATGTCTCCATGAATGACCTTGGAAAATTAGGCTTGTGGGAGCCTCCAGTAGATGAGAACATAAATCCTAATTTTCTAGAGAGAGAAAATTTATTCCTTTTTCCTTCTTTCCAAAAATCACACCCAAAATATACATAGACATGTATATTTATAGGCAACATAAAAATAAAGAAAAGGAAACCACAAATCCTTCTCAATCATATGTCTCAAATCTAATATGATTCCAATATCAAGTTGGGTTATGAGTGAGAATCCATTGGGCCTATTATTTTATTGGCTACAATGAATTAATAATTGGCCCGGTTCATGGACCCAATTCAATTAATTCATAAATTAATTTCTACTCCACTAAAAGAAATTAATTGAACTCCAATTAAATAATAAATAACCTCTAATTCAATATTGCACTTTGACCCCTCTATTCTTAATTAGTTATCGGATAAATAAAGCCATCAATCCGACTACTTAATTAATATATTTATTTTGGTACCATTGATTATTTCTGGCTCGATCACAATAAAACATTTGTTTGACAAAAATAATAATTTAAATAAATAAATATATAATAAATCATTTTGTCTAAAAACACACGAAGGCCTTCGAATTTACTTTGTGATCAACCATAATCAATACAAAATAAATACAAGTAACAATGATGCAAATATTGAAAATATAACCCTCTAACTATTAATTACATAACTACCCAAAGTGTCGGTCTAAGGATCCCGAAAAATCCGCCGAACAAATCAAAGTAATTATTAATTAATAAAAGAGTCTATAATTTTCTCATGCTTAAGAGTCAAATGCCATGACAATGATAGGGAGCAATTGCATACGACGGCTCTCGCAATATATCTCAATTTAACGCGGATCCAGTTCAAATCTTAAATAATTATGAGTCCATCCATAATTACCGACTATGAACCATTTATGATTACTATTTATATATCATGCATTGATTGCCATCACATACATATATATATAAATATTTCTTGTAATCAAATGGACACTATCAATTCTATAATGAATCGAAATATAATACATTGAATTCACCAATTGTATAAAATATAAATATTTCAAAAACGTCAGGAACATATGTCACTTTAATCCAAACAGAAATTTGCTATGCTAGGGCATATAAATCCCAACAATGACATCTAAAAAGCTTCGTAAGAGCATGCGCAACCTCGTTACTGGTCTGATAGACATAGCTAAGCCCTGAGGATGAAAAGCTCCGAAGTACCACTTGAATATCATAGGAAAGAGCTTGAATTTCAACATGCGCCCGATCAACATCATCAACAGCCTGAACATTGAAACCACACTTGGTCAAATGAATATCTCCTCGCCCAGAAAACAATATTTAGGAATTCTACACTATATAATAACTATAAATTTAGTTTCAGAGAAAAAATAAATATAAAAATAAACCCAAACAACCTACCTTTGGCCTTTCTCAAAAGGTGAGAATGGACACATAATTAAGGGTTGTTACATGGTCCAATATTGGTCTCAAAATCACCCAATTGATCGAGGTGGGCTCCATGTATAAGTTTGTAAATAATATAATTTTATAATCTTTTCTAGAAGGTTAATCGATGAAATTGAAACAAATTTATAGTTAATTTCCTAAATAACAAATCTATAATTTTATAATCTTTTCTAGAAGGCTAGTGAAACTATTTTATCCCATCACTCTCACGGCAGGCTGAGGATGTTACTTCTTCTTCTGCTTGCTTAGAGAATCTTGCCTTGTGTGGTCTTACTTTGACTCATCTCCATATTATTATGTTACTAGGGATCTGGTTTCCCTACGTCTCTTCCTTGGTGTTTTGTGGTTTTTCCATTTGCGTCTTCTGTTTTAATTCTTTTTGTTTTGGTTCGAAGTTCTTCCTCTGTTTTTTTTTTATTGTATTCAATTGTAAAATTTGAATACATTAAGGCCTTAGTTTTATTATTGGTTAAAACAGAAATAGTGTTTTTATTGTAAGAGTGTTTTGAAAAAAAATCAGAAGCACGTTTGGGAACGGTGTCTTGCTGTAGAAATGTCAGACCCGTGTTACGCTACTGTTATGATTTTGGGTCATGAATAATTGTCAAAACAAGAAAAAATAACTTTTTTGTGCTTTGGTTTTGGACCACTGTTCACGAAGTGTTTTGACACTATGTAAAATAAAATAAAACCGCACCAAACATGCTTTTGTCGCCAAATTTGACACTCTAGCAGACCAAAAACAAAAACAGCAGAAACAAAACGCATGTCAAAAGAGGCCTAATGAATTGATTTTTGTGTGAAGTTCTTAACATGATGGATGTTTTTAACGTTAGGTATGATTGACCACTCATTAGGGTCACACACATTCTATTGGCAAATATAATGGATAAAAGATACACAAGTAAAACAAGATTGCTATTCCGTTCTTCAACAGAGAAACGTTAATATACTCCATAAAACATGAGGGAAAGAATAAAGTTGAAGAAAGATTACATCAAGTTGAATTCAAACTATTGAATGTAGAACACACATACAGTTATGTTTGGGGAGCACTAAATAGGCACCTTAAAATTGAAATCGGAGGAAATTTCGTTCTAACAATGTTCCCTAACACAACATAAATTGATTTTACCGTAAAATATCTTGTAGTAATTAATGTCTAATTATGCAATTTATTACCTTGAATAGTAAATTAATGATATAGAATGAATATAATTGATATATATATATATATATATATATATATATATCAATTATATATGTTTATGCATGAACATAATGATTACATAATCATTATCACCCTTACCCTAATTCCTTGTGAATGGAGTTGTCCAAACCTTTTGATCCATGGCTTTCTACATTGCGCTGAAAGGAATTTGAATCTCTTACCAAAGGGCTACTAGCCGAATGGTATAACCTCTCCTCGAACCATACCTATAGCTGTAAATGAACAATGCTTTTGCATTCGTGTTCATTTGTTCATAGCATTCGTGAACAGATTCGTATAAAGGCTTATTTTGAACTCGGAATATATATATATGTTTGAGTTCACGGAATATTTAATCAATCCGCATTAATATTTCATTTTAACCAATCAATAAAGGCCATCCAAATTCAATGCACCCCAACCCAACTTTAACTAATAACATTTTGTCCATTTTAAAGATAAAGAGAGTCCAGCCCTAAGCCTATATCCCTTACAGCCCATCTGTGTAAGCCTATATATATATATATATATATATGTATATGTTTGAGTTCACGGAATATTTAATCAATCCGCATTAATATTTCATTTTAACCCATCAATAAAGGCCATCCAAATTCAATGCACCCCAACCCAACTTTAACTAATAACATTTTGTCCATTTTAAAGATAAAACAAAATATAATACAAGCTCATTCCTTATTTCAAGCCCATTCCCTCTTTATTCACTTTCACTTTTACTCCCTGTTTTTTACTATAAATTCCTAAAAACTTAAAGAAAAGGTACAAATCATGTTTCCTAAGATAATTTTACTTTTCAACTTTAAGAAAGTAATTCCTCTTTTAACGGAGAAAAGAAAAAAGTGAGGTTTTGTTGTCTTCTCTACTTTTTATACTGTAGACCAGCTCTCTCTCACCCATCATCCTCATTTTACTTTTTGTTTCACCCTAAGAACTCGGAATCATTATTTTACTTTCTAAGAAAGTAAAAGTAGGAATTAATTCCTGTTAGTGAACGGGCCTTACCAACTCACTTCCATCATCTTCTCCATGAAAGCTCCAGCCTATTAAGTATCAGCCAATTTCCTCACAGAACCCAAGATCCACTAGAGAGTTAGAATAAGAACAAACCGAGGGATCTTCAATCCAAGTTTAAAGCATTTCTAAGAATGTAGCTTATGAAACAACTACTTCGACATGAACTCCCCCAATGAAGCAGCAAGGCCTTGTAAGGCCAGATTGTTGAATTCGTGTGCTTTCTATTTCAGAAACATTTCCAAACTACTGCATTATCTATAGTTATTCAACCCCATAAAGTGCAATCTAAGGGAGCCTTAAAAGAAATGACAAAAAAATCAGTCTTCGATATCAATGAATAGAAATATACATCAAGTCATCATCATAAAAACCAGAAATTCAGTGGCACTTTGAGGTGTAATCATAATGGTTTTTGTGGTATGACACAAAATTATCTCGTAAACTATTAGCTTGTGGTGGCCTCACAGATTACATGACAACATCTACAACTACCCTAAAGGCCCCATTAACATGAACATGAAGAATAGCTATGCGCGGATTATTATGAAATCCCACAGCAGCTGCTTAGGGAATTGGAACAAAATGTTATCCTGATGTAGAACTGAATTAAATTAGCAATCTTCCAGTAACAACATGACTGTACCTAGTTTATCTATGCTTCAAATTAACTATTAAGAAGACCTTGCAAGGTCAGAGTTGCACAAAAACTACTAAATTATTCAGCTAAATGCATACATGATTAATGAAAGATATATTACTGTCTAAGCATTTTTTAAACGAAATCGAATAAATACTTACCAAAAATATTGAATTCATATCATATCAACCAAAAAAAAAAAACTGATCATAAATACCTAATGTTGAATAGCCGCGGGCATGCCCTTGTAATGCTGGTGTTGTCCTCAGGCAAAAGCATCAAGAACAGGGTGAACTTCGGCGATATTTTAGAGTCGGGCAAAAGCATCCAGAAGAAGGGTGAACTTTGGGATGTTTTAGAGGTAGGCTCGGTAACCTTCCAAGTTGTTTTCTCACATGACCTTTTATGCTCACACTTACACAAAGAGTTGAACCAACAATGAATCACACTTGCACAATGTTTTAGAGACGGGTTTGGTAATCAATTTTTTTTTTTTTTTTGTTATTTTTTTTAGAGGAACATGGCGTATGGAATGAATCATGGATTGAACCAACAATGTCACACTCGAACTAAGACAACAACGTTTTATAATGTCATTTATTTATACTCTATATGAAAGGGGAAGATAACCCTTGCTGGATAAAAAATGAAAAAAATACAACACTGAGCTAGATATTTGCATCATTAGACTTAAAAATCAAAATCATTAATTTAACAAATCGAACTAGTTCTAAAATTGTATGTCAAACAAAACCAAGACCAACTAAACCGATCTCCAAGATAGCAGACAATGGCATAACACACCAAGCCTCAACCACTAAAAAAGTCTGGAGAATTCAATGCACCATGTTGTTGAGCTTCAAGTTTCAATTGCCGGAACTAAAACAGAGAACACAAATTTGCTCAGAGATTAATGAATGTGAATTGATTGACATATTCACTACCCAAGAGTAAACATCGGAGAAACCAATGTATAGTTGGAATCGGAGATGTATGACGTTAAGAAGTCCACTCTGTTCCTCATTTTCCCATATCCTAATTACTTTGAAAGATTCAACTTCTCCTGATATAACTTCAAAAGCTCAGGAGCTTCTTCCTCATATTTTTTCACATAGTTCCTTAGGAAGTAACTTTCAGGAGACTCCAACATCCGATACAAGCTAAATTTCTTCTTAAGCAAACCTTTCGACAACAGAATTTGATAAACTATACACCTCGGAATGATCCTCCTCTCCAAGCTAAAGTAAATAAGCACTGGCCTCCTTGAATAAAAGGAAGACTCCCAACCCATTTTATTGACAAAAAAATCCATTAACCCCATAATTTTATCCTCTGATGCCACCATACACCCCGGATACTTCCCAAAAGCCACCAAAATCTCCTCTTCAGATAAACCCCACTTCTTATAAACCTCCACCTTCTTTTCCCAAGTTGATTTACTCATTTGGCACACTGCCTGAACTGCTAAAACAAATGTCCTTTTCACAGGGTTAAACCCCATTTTCTTTACTTCCTCCACAATCTCCTTAGACCTATCAGCAGTAGTCTTCAAAGCTCTACGTTGAGATTTCAAGAGAACCACAATATTTGATACGGGCACACCTATTTCTCTCAGAGCTTCAATAATGGGTGCATAGATGTGAACATCATGCAACAAAAGCCCCGCAAAGCTTTTAATAGCTGTAATTGTTTTTTCTTCAGACTTGAGCAATTTCTTGAGGAAATTGTATGATGGGATTATTTGATTTTCAATACTTCTTTTCAGAAATTCTGGTGTTGCAGTGATTATTTTGGTACTGTCTTCGTTGAAAGACCTTTAGAGTGGAAAAATACGATTTTGGGTAAAAGGGTTTCCTCGGGATCGGACGAGAGTATCAGAGGCGAGCTTCTGATGAGAAGTGAGATCTGGGTTTCGGTGAATCCATGGTTGCTGAAGAATGCGATGACAGAGTCAGGTTTGTCTGGGGATTTGATGTTCATGTACTTGGAGGCTGAGAGAGCCTTTTCTGGAGGAAACCCACATGATTTTATGAGGTAATCGATAGTGAATGAGTGTTGATTTGAAGTGCGAGATGTGGATTTGAGTGTTGAGGATGATGAAGATAATGAGTAGTTTTGAAGAAAATACAGTTTCTGAGTTGGTGAAGTTGAAACAACACACCTCAAAGATTTGAATACGAAATTAAACATGGTTTAGTGGTGGAAGGTACTCACCTGTTGTGTTCTTGTTCTTCGGAGGGAATCTTGTTGAAAATTTGGATCTCCTTCCCAAAACTCCTCTTTCCTCATGAACCCTAAGTACTCTCCCGGGTTATTATACTGCCTTACACGACATCGTTCCAGACAGCAGAATGCCCACACCAAACCAGGTCCGGCTGTCCATCATATATATATATATATATTAATAATCTATATTTTAGAAATGATTGAAAATATATATATATATATATATTATAGAAATTATATTAAGAGCAACCCAGTGCACCATCAATTTGTGTAACATGTATGACTGTGTAAAAGCAAAGTGCTTCTTGTGCATCTTACACACTTGCGGGCCCATCCAATATTACACGCTCAACACGCCACAGGTGAAAAATGGAGTAGCGCCTGTCAAATGGCAGTAGGGGAGTGGGCCATTTTGTGGGCTTTGTGTGTGAGAATAATACAAAATGAAAATTTGATATTGTATAGTGATATGTAAAATAAATATTATATGTATATTAGATTAATTAATTAATATAAAGATAGTTAAATTTTTATTAATTAAAAAAAAGTCATTTTTTTCTAAATAAATAAAAAGAGTCATTTAATTTGCATAACCTTTAATTAATTATTATTTTTAAAAAAAAAAAAAAATTTAGTACTTTTTGACACTTCACGACCTATTGGGCGAAAAGCTGCCAAGAAGGGTCGTAAAAGTAAAGATAAAGGTACAAAATGACTTATTTCTTATATCGTTTCAAGGATTTGCCGAGCAAAATAAGTTGATGGACAACTTAGCACTCGAATCTCGTACTTGAAAAATGAAATCAAAATTTGATTTGGGTATGGGCAAGAACGAACACGGCGATTGGAGCTTGAGCTACAAAAAGAAATGAAATTAAAGGAGCTTGAGGCGCAAAAAGAAATGGAGATGATGGAGATTGAGCGGGAGCAAGTTCTTTGGGAAAGACAAATGATGGAAAAAAATCCAAATGATGCTGCAATACCGGCGGTGAAAGCATAGATCGAGGATCAACATAATAAAATTATGGCGCGTTATGCAAAAAAGGGCAATTAATTGTAATATTTACTATATTTTTTTTCATGTGTGGAAGTGTTAATGTATTTTTTTTTTCCAAATTGTATTGTTTTATTTTATTTGTAGGAAGCTATGTAATACACTTTATATATATATATATGTAATATTATTGTTTTTTTTAATATATATATATTTTTAAAATCTTGTATCTAAATCAGAGCAAACAATTATAGCCGTTAGTATTATAGTTGTTGAGAATAAAACTGTTAAGAAAAAAATAATAATAATAATAATAAATTTTATTTTATTATTTAAAAAATAATAATATAATAAAGTGTACAATGAAAAAATGAGTGCACAACAAGAACTTAGAACCTTCAAAATAAGTGTACAATCAAATGCTGACGTGGCTGTACACTTTACATAAAGTTGATGATGTGGCTACACACTTTATATAAAGTGTGGAATGGGAAACAATATGTGCACTGGGGTTGCTCTAATGCTTTAAAAATGAGAATAAGGACACTTCGTAAAAAAACAAGAGGATTGAGAAATAAAAATGATTATTCAATTAGCTTCAATGATCAACAATTTTCAAACTTAAATTTCAATTAAGAAATGAACTTTTCACACTTTAGATTTTAATTAGATTGGATTTTGCCAGCAATTTAAAGTCTGAGATAAGGAAAAGATACAATCGCTCATTTTGCCTCGGTGCAAATAGGGTTGGTGGATTCCGTATATACTTTTTCAGCTCAGACAGGGGTTGTTGCTCGCTCCCCAAGTCTGTCTTTTGCTGTTTCTAATCGTGTTGAAGAATGGTTTGCACCGGTCTGAGATGAATCTATTGAGTGTGACTATTCTTCCTATGAGGGTCTAGACTTTCATGAGAGTTCTCAGCTCCTCGCATCGCACTAGGGCCTCTACCTAGGTGGGACTCACCTCAATCCCCTGACTATTGATGATATACCCTAAGACCTATCTGGAACCAACTCCGAAAGAACATTTGGAGGGGTTCAATCTTATTCCATGCTTCCGCAATGTATCGAACACTTGTTGTAAATGTGAGAGATGATCATCCTTTCTTTTACTTTTCACCACCATATCATCAATGTATGCCTCCACGGTTTTGCCTGGAAACTTTGTTGACCAACCTCTGATATGTGACTCCTACATTCTTTAGGCCGAATGACATTACCATATAGTAATAAGTCCCTCACTCTATCACGAAAGATGTCTTCTCTTCATCATCTAGGTGCATGGGTATTTGGTTATAGCCCGAATATGCATCCAGGAAAGTTAAACGCTCGTACCCAGTGGTTACATCTACCATTTGGTTGATTTTTTGCAAGAGAAAGTGGTCTTTGGGACAAGCCTTGTTTAAGTTTGTGAAATCAATGAACCAAGAAGGGTACTGAACTTCTCTAATGAAACCTGACTCCAACAGTTTGTCCACTTCTTTCCCTATATATCCGGTTTCGCTCTAGTGCAAACCTTCTTTGGGTTGAATAAGATCTAAGCACATCCTTCACTTAAAAAAGTTTTGTTTACTAATATTAGCTTGTAGTAACTTTGATGAACTACAAAACTAGAAAAGCATACATATATAACTAGAAACGGTAAAGTAACTATATGAATCACGGACATACGAATGAGCCGTATCGTGTTTGTGTTGGACACTCCTTGAACACATGTACGATCATTTATATACGTGTTCGTAAATAAAAATAAATTTTTATTATTTTAGAGACTTTCCCGACACTTCCGTACACTTTGCCAACACTTCTTGGACACTTAGGTCGACACTTTCAAACATTTATAACACAAGCCTACCCGATAATCTTGAAAATAATATGAACACATTTTAAAGTGTTCGAAGATGCAAGCAATGCCATTCTATATTAGGAAAAGATTTTCTTACATTCCAAACAATCAACCTCTTTCCCCTTCTCACTTCTATTTATAGAAGTTCACATTTACCCTAATTTCTTATATTTTTTCTCTAAGATTGGCCTCCCTCCTTTGTGGGGTGGTCCAACTATACAAATTGACCCAAATGGAAGCCTTTTCTTGTTGTTTTAGACTCTGCGTGCATTGAGCCTGACTTTTGGACCTTTAGGATGGTGAGCAGCCAAGTTGGTCAAGTGTGTTGGGCTGCATCCGACTCGGCTCAGGCCCATCTACATTTCCCAACCTTTCAGTGTTCAACTTTTTCTTTATGAAAAATTGACATTATACACATATGACCACAAACGAATCATTAAATAATATTGTAAGTAGTGGAATAACTATATATATATGTGATATAAAAATCATTACAACTCGCAAAGTCATAGTATAAAAATTAGAAATGAATTAAAGTTTCATAATACTATTAAAATACATATATATAAATAAAAATTCAAATTTATATACTTGTGTCCAAGCCGTATTCATGTCCCATGTCCATATCTATGCTACATAGTTAATAAGCTCTTAAAATTGACCAAAAAAAGCTGATTAGGGATTGCAATGGAGTGAGTATGCCACAGATTTGCCTAAACCCCATCCCCGACTTGTTTAATTAATGGGAATCCTATACCTGGGGCGAGTTGATTCTCAAAGTCCATACCTACCCATTGGGAGATAAGTGAGCCCGTGCCCGTCTATTAATTATTTGGACAACAAAATAAATATCAACAAAATAATAATAATAATAATAATAATAAAATAATGGAAGCCCATTGAAGAGCCACCTAAAAAAATACTATATGGTAAAAAATAGTAAAAATTGTAGGGTAAAAAAAAATCTTGTTGGTAGGAGTTTGTTAGGTTAGGTTGATTTAGTAAGAACTTAAGAGAGATTATATATAGAGTTAGGGTTCAGTGCAAAAAAACCACTTGCTATACAAAAAATGTGCAAGAAACACCCCCACTAAAAATTAAGTGCATATAAATCGTTGAATTATCCACCATTTGAGCAAATTGCCCCCTAATCATAAAAATCCCAAAATGCCTTTGTTGCTGTAAGAAAAAGAAAAGAAGAAGAAGAAAAAGAAGAAAATTTGTCTTTACTTTCTTTCTAAACCATCTCTCTCAGCTAAGGGTGCACACGGTTTGGTTCCTTACGGTTCCGCCCGAAACCGGAACCGTTCATGACAATTCCTAGAAAACAGAACTGGAACCGGAACCATATAGTATGGAACCGTTAACTCTCGGCAAGCACGGAGCTTCAGACGGGTTAGGTTTCGGCATCGGAAAGAGATGAGTTTGAGAGCTTCGTCGCCGATGCTCGCAGATCTGCGATCGCATTTCAGAGTGAGTTTAGTCACCACATCAAACCTTAAAAACAGAGACGGAACCACCGAGAGCAGATCGGCTTGGGCGTTGAGAGAGAGATAGTGATGGCTCTGTCCCTCGATTTGAAACCACCAATGACAGACGAGAGAGCATCGTTTCCGATCACTGGAGCCAAGCGACTGGAATATGCAAGCTAAGCACTCATCGGGAAGGTTAGAGATTTAGTCGGGGAGATCAAGAGCATCGATAATGATCTCCTCAAATGACCAACATGCCGGCGTCGGTCAACTCTTAGCAAGCACGGAGCTTCAGACGGGTTAGGTTTCGACATTGGAAAGAGTGAGCTTGAGAGCTTCGTTGCCGATGCTCACAGATCTGCGATCGCATTTCAGAGTGAGTTTAGTCACCGCATCGAACCTCGAAAACAGAGACGGAACCACTGACAGCAGAACGACTTGGGCATTCGTCACTTCATCAAACCCTAAGATTGAGAGATTGGGAATTTGAGAGGAGGCGACTGGCGAGGACTGAAAGAGTGAGAGATTTAGGGTAAAACTAAAAAAAAAATATGTTTTTTTTTCACGTGTCTAATGTCCAGCGACTTATCTTTACTTCTTTTTTAGTATTAAATTAAATATATACAATTCCGATTCTTACCGGTTCCCACGGGTTGGAACCGGAACCGGAACCGTATGTCCACGGTTCTTAAATTTGGAACCGGAACTGGAACCGTGAGAACCGGTAAAAATGGTTCCGGTTTTCGCGGTTCCGGTTTCGGTTCCACGATTCCGATTCTTTTATGCACCCCTACTCTCAGCTCTCTCTCTCTTTCTTTATATATATATATATATATATATATATATATATATATATATATATATTTTGGGTAAGTCTTTTTCTCTCTCTACAACATAGAAGATCACCACACGGTTTCATAGGCTTAAATAACAACCAATTAACTTTCGCTGCAAAATCATAATTTTGATAATAAATAAATTAATAAATAACAAATATTATATTCTCGCTGAAAAATCACTACTTTGATA